ATCAAGTTACGACATCGGAGACGATCCCAACCCAAAAATATTTCGTACAAATTCACCCTTGCAGCAACGAAATAAAGGTTTTTAATCTCTCTGGAGTATCATTATTGTGACCACAAATAGTTTCATATTACTCTTAACTAATTGTTAGTAATAGGATAATTGTTTGGGATAATAATCTTTTCAAAATTGCTTAACGTGTAGGTCATAGAACCTTCTTTGTTAGGGATATGTGAATATTTATTTACACTTTATTGCTTATAATTTGAAAGATACAATTTATTGCAACATATATCATATTTATAACATTTAAAATACGGGAATAAAGCTTTAGTTGGAATCGAACTTTTCTTTTTGAGAGGAATAATTTGGAATATATGTATCAATCAAAACACATATTATTTAATTATAGTGTACGAGTATGTCAAAGGAACAGTATTTGCGATGTTTAGTATCTATTTATTAAATATACTTTGGCCTAACGTTACTCCCTGAGTTTAGAAGTGAGAGAATTCAAATGGATACTTTAAGGATTTATCAACTTTATAATATGATTGTTTTATAAAACAACTAATGAATGTTCGAATTAAGATTAAAAATAAAAATAAAGTCACTTTTCACTAATAACTAAACAACTCTTTAGTCTTCTTGAGTGATAACAGCTACTGAATACGAATAATAGCATTTCGGTAGAAACTATTATACATATAATAGAATAACTATAAGACAAAATATTAACAATAGTCACGAACCGACGCGGCAGTTACAACGTAACGTGCATATTAGTAATTTGATTTATTAGGCACCCCTTGTGCTGGCAGCCATTACGATCAAATGACTTCCCTCTGCGATTGTACAATTTGTTACTGCTTAATGGCTATGTACACGTTTATATAGAAGTGACAGAAGGACCCTTTTTACTCTACAATCAGTATTTATGCATTTACACTACTGTCCTTTCTAATCAGTGAGATATTAGAATCGATAAAGCTACACTTATATATTATAACACAGGAGAGAAATTTGTCTGTAAAATAAAGTTTCCGATGGATATTTAATTCTAGTAACAAAATCAGTTTTTATACAATTCTAACTATGGTGGGGACGATTGGGAGGAAAATGCTCAAGATAGAGAGAGATGAAGCCAGTTGGAGGAGGCCTATACTCTATAAATGGTCCTTGAAAACAGTGTGTATCTTTTGCTACGATGAATGAACGTTTTAAGGAAAAAATGATACCTTAATTATTATTATTATTCATTCTAACTACCGCACTTAATCATTCATTAAATGCCATTCAAAATATACGTTTTACATGCACAATGAATATTACCTAATTGCAAGCTTGATTCTTGTATTGCATTTGTGAGTAAACTTAATTTCTTGTATTTTAGTTTAAACTAAATAGAAAACATCAAGTTTTAATTGTTTATTTTAGAAATTAATTATAGAAATTAGTTCATAATACCGTATTTCCAAAGTTCTATAAATAAAAAAATGTGTTAATATCCCACACTAATATTTACGTTGGATAAGTTTTAAATAACGAACACAACCTGTGTGTTAATCTATTGTTTTACCGTATTAAGTAGGCTTTACTTTTGTTATTGAAAGAGATTGAGGAGGTACACAAATTAAACTCTAAAACAGCTGAACCGCAATTCTGTCGTGAGACATGGCGTCAACGTTGACACCAGTGGCCAAATAAAAACTAACACCATTTATTGTGTATAGGTATTATGGCGGGATAATTCAGTGCAAATAAATAGCAGGGGTCCCGAATGCCATTGTACCCGTGTCATTGTCACTCATGTTATGTGCTAACTTCACTAATGCTTTTGGGTTTCGTAGTTCGAGAAAATATTTTATTCGAGTCGTCTAATCGGTTTCCATATTTGAAATATTTACGTTGGTCAGAAAAAACAATTAATTTAATTTGAATAGAGAAACCAGACAATACCGATTATTTTAATATGAACTATATGATATTTGCGTAGGATTAAAACTAATAAATTATATTTGCTTGCCTATCGTAACTTATGAAATCCAGTCAATAAATTAACGTTGTTAGTAAAGAAAAAAAATTGTCTAGGTTTCGTAAGGTTTTAGTTGGACTGTGGAGTTTAAAAGTAAAAAGTTCATGAAACGAATTCGTATGCGGAACCACGACTGTATAACTATCTATTTTTTGTATAAACAAATTGTGTCCTCGTATCGGGATTAGTATAAAATCGGCTCGCAGTGTCGAACAAATATTTGCCTGACACTTGGGCGCATCATAATCGGCACAGCACATGATCACACCTATTATAGCCTAAAAATAATATTGACATGGACAATAGAATTTAAAAAGATAAACTTAATCTATTCAGGCGTTCATATTTTATAGTAATATTTATTTAAATTAGAAGTTGACGTGAATAGACAACATTCTTTATTTAGTAACATTATACGTATGCTAAATATACTTATTTATATTTGTACACAAAATTATCAGTATAGTAGCATCTTCCGTGGGCAGTTGCAGATTCTACGGCATTGGACATAATTTAAAATAATAAAACATTCGAATAATAATAGAATTTATGTTACACTTCAGAGAATATTAATAAATATTTATATATTTAATTTTTCAAATGTAAACTGAACTTTATTGACTATAATGACTTCTTTTCCAGTCTTTGATTATTTAATTGTAATTAATTATTTGCATGCAATCAAAACCTATGTTTAATAATGCCAAAGAAGTATAACTTCTTACGCGCGTACATAAGTACACGCACCCTTTTTTTTAAGCTATATATCTTTATACACCTTATGATAATTAATATCTTATTGTTACAGCATAATCAATTGTAGGTATATTTATTTAAATGGGGTTACAAAATACAAAAATAATTTTACAAATTGTAACAATTCAACATATCTTCGTGAATCATGTCTTTACCCCGGTTAACAAAAGGCTATATCAAATCTCAGATAACCCGTGACTAATAACCAAAATACCCATGAATCTTATCATCACACCACAAATCTTTAAAAGGTAACACCCAAAACTAATCCACCCATTCACCATTGTACCTTCAAAACCAGAAGCTTTTAGTGAGAAGAGAAGCGAATTTAAACCTTATTTTATTGTTGTATTTTTTGTACTCATTTGCATTTACGAAATGGTTATTGTCAAATGTTGCCAGACTATTATCATCATGGCCGGATGGTTCGGAGTCCATAACTTGCGTTTTTCACACAATTATAATAGTGACAACACTCTTTTGTTCTTACCCGGAAGGATTTACAGCTTTAGGGAGATTATACCAAGATTATGTTAAACAAAGGTCGCATTTAATGATAACATTTTAGTTTTGGTAGTGTTTCTTGCGCAAATGAAAAATTATAGACTTGTTTAATTCCTTATATAATAATACTAGCCGTTTCCCCTTCGCTGGGCGAATTAAAATAGGAAAGAAATAAAATTTTATGTTTAACTATTATGATTTTTTTCATATTTTTATTATTCTTCTTTTTAATTTTCGAAAATCGAGTTTTTAACAGATGTCAACGTTTTGAGGTTCTAGGAAGCCTCCCCGAATGTTTCCGCGGTGAAGTCCGTATGTATAAATTTTCATAAAAGTAAAACAGCAATAAAAAAAAATCGCATCGAATGGCATAGTTTCATGTCGATACGATCAGTGGTTTAGGCGTGAAGGAGCCTCAAACGAAGACCGTTTTTCTTATATATATATATATATATATATATATATATATATATATATATATATATATATATATAAGGGAGACTACATAGTTTAACATTGCCTTAAGCTGACAATAAATAAATAATCTTTACAAATTTTTAAAATGTACGTAATATTTACTTTCTAGATAATAATGATAATCCTAGAGAGAATTCAGAGCGATGTCAAAGATTAGCTCAGTGCGGGGCCGGGTGTAATTTCCGTAATGGCGGCATACAGCTCCGGTGACACAGACAGCTGTAATTACGACTGCGACTAAATACCCGATACCAACTAATTTCAGGCTTCCACCTACACTATGCGCTTGATTGTTTGTTGTTAATTATGTGCTACCTGAATATAAAATAAATATGTATGTGTGAGTGCCACTTCGCTCGAATTTAGATATGCTTATTCTTTTTTAGCCACCTACACCTATCCAAAGATCTGATCGACAAGACGTATGTGATGTGCCAAAAACAGTGAAATAAAGATGGACATGTCTGCTTTTATAAATATAGACTATCTAATGAAACTCTTAATTTAATAGTAAAATTTATTAGGTACCATTTAATTTTGTTCGATTTCATAGTGATTTTATAGATTTAAATACCTCACTTTAAAATTCTTAGTATTTGTAGATTAACACCGTTTAGGTAAGTGACATATCCACTTGAAGATTGTTTTTTTTTATGGAAATATAATTTAGATCTTATTATAATTTAAATTTTGTAACATTGTCACTAAATGGGTTACATTATATTTCCATGTTAATCTTCATTATTTTGTAATTTAATAAAAAAATGGTTTGAATATCATGTTTAAATGTTTTTTAGCCTAAGTTTAAAATATGAACTGTTACATTAAATAGTATTCGAGTATTGTGCGCCATCTAGCGTGTAACTAGAAAAACAATCGTGAAAACTTTACCTAGATGGCTCTTGATAGGATTTTCTTATTGTATTATTCATTTGAATAAATATTGTGGTTTAAAAAAGGATTTACTTGCGTTATTTTGTAAACAAATTTGATCATTTTAAGAAAAAGTCACCTTTTTTTCAAATTGAATTGGATTGTATTCTCAATATTCAAATATTCATGAGCCTATTGTCTTCTTCGTCTTTCAAATATCAATGTCAAGTATGACTTTAACAAATGCAACTATTTGATAGTTTAGGAATAGGGTCTAGGGATAGATTTGATTATTATTAATTTGTTTTGTACACAACGATTTTAATATTTATTAGAATTTAGAAAATCCTGTACTGGTATGATTGGTGTTAAAATGAATACATTTAATGATAATGCTGGTGAACCAGAACAAGACGCTAACTCAGCTCTAACAGAGTTAGACAAAGGTCCGATTAACCTTATTTGTTATAAAATACCCGGCTTTAATTTAACTTACTTTTTAATACATTAATTTACAGGACTTCGGTCTGGAAAAGTTGGTGAACAATGCGAAGCAATCGTCCGTTTCCCCCGGCTGTTTGAAAAATACCCATTTCCAATACTTATCAATTCATCATTCCTAAAACTGTCTGACGTATTTCGTATGGGCAATAACTTCTTAAGGTTATGGGTACTGCGAGTTTGTGAACAAAGTGAAAAGCATTTGGATAAAATATTGAACGTAGATGAGTTTCTAAGGAGAGTTTTTGGTGTGTTACATTCTAATGATCCAGTTGCAAGGGCATTGGCACTTAGGACTTTGGGTGCTGTCGCAGGAATTATACCAGAACGGCAAAACGTACATCACGCTATACGGAGAGGCTTAGAGAGTCATGATAATGTTGAAGTGGATGCTGCTATTTATGCAACAACTAAGTTTGCAGCACACTCTAAGTAAGATAACATATAATTCAATATTCTCCTTATTAAGTTGTCTCATCTTTAAGTTTTTAATTAGCATGTAAACTCCTTTCATTCAGAAGAGCCAATTTTACCTGAGTCCTTTCTTTTTCAGTACTTTTGCAGTAGCAATGTGCAATAAGCTTTCAGACATGGTTGAATGTGAGAGTACAGGTGCTGAAAGGCGTGCAAAGCTGGTGAGAGCACTAAGGACTGTACATGGAGGAGGTATCTTAAATTTAATATAACAAGTACTAAAAGATTAGTATTTAATATCTGAGCAATTCTGTGAAAATTTACTGAAAGTAAACCTGAAGTGGTATACTAAAAAATATTGTTTTGATTAAATAAAGAAATATTAATTAACAGGTTGTGCCCACCACAACCCAACAATCTATATGGTAAAAGAACAAAATATTTGGTTCTCTGATTTATGAAAAATTCAAATATTACTATTTAGGTAAAATGCAACAAACAACCTTCAGAGTAGTCAAGAGATACATTATGTCAGAAAAACTGTATAGGATTGGTTTGTTTGAAATGTAGTATTGGATTAATATGTACAGTGGAATTCCATGGATAGAGGAGCTTGGTTGTAGCAACCATTTAGCTATTGTGATGTTAAAACCCTTATTGTTGTTGTTAAAGTTGTATATAGCTATAGCGGCTTTGGATGTAACGCCGAATTGGGTTAGCAACTGTTTTTAATGCATTATTTACATTAGTGTTATACATGAAATCCACTGTATTTTTTTTTTAACAAATGAATAAAAAGACCTGTAAAGAAAGAATACTGTGCAACTAAACAATTAATATTTTTTCCAGCTGTTAGAGCTCAAGGGGTGCTAAAACTTCTGAGATCCTTGTTGGAAAAATTTCCATCCTCAAGTTCTGTTAGAGCGGCTATCACAGCTCTCACTGCTATCGCAGCTGACACTGTAGTTCATGTACCAGACCAGGTAAATTTGAGATCTTACAAACATTTGTAATTCAAAAACTTTGAGATCAACGCGAGTGACTTCTTTATTTATATTAATAGTGTTGAATATATAGCCAGCTGTGTATTCAAAATAAAAATGTAACCAACTAAATTTTATGTTGTTCATTAAGCCCGAGTCCCGACTCACTTTAGACAACGCCCTCTAGGGGTTAAGATAGGACATTAAGTCAAGTAAGTGAAGTTAGTCACTTAACCCAAATGTTGACTTTACGTATACTATATATTTAACTAAGAAAATTATTACCCAGGTCGAGCTTTTATTAAGCCTAGCAATGAATGACCCCCGTTCAGGAGTACGTCGCGCGGCATTGGTGGGTCTTCTAAAATTGGCCGAACACGCAGCTCTATGGTCAGCGGAATCTATACAGGATTTAGTACGAGCTGCTACGGAGACAAAGGATTCAGATCATACTATGTTGTGCTTACAAGTTATGCAGGTGCGTTTATTTGTTCGAATTATTTTTATGGCATATTTAGCTAATAATTAATTGACTCGATAATAAATCTTTTTGTGTGACAAGTGACAATGTCAAGAAGATTTTACTTTTTTTTATATTTATATAGACAATATAGAATCATAGCTAAAAAGGTCGAAAGCATTGTGCCAGCAGTTATCAGCTACCAACAGTATTACATTTATGTTGAGGCAGTAAACTTTATTGCAATATTACAATGTTCTAAAACAAAAAGTTTCTTGAATTGTTGTTTCCCAAACAAATCCTTAACTAATGTGTATCATGTGAAACATCGTACAATTATTAATTATTTGTATGGTCTATATAGATTCTAGTCCGTTGTCCGGCGGTGTGTACGGCAGCGGGGTGTCCCCGTGCAGGATCTAGTGCCTTACGCCAGTACTGCGCAGACGCCACACTCAGTCTTGACACGCGACACGCTGCTATCGCCGCCGATGTCTTGACCAGGATTGTCGTTCATTGGTATGAATTACTTCAGTCAATATTATAGTAGAAAAACTAATAATATTTTGGCATTACCTTACGCTCAGAAAAGCTCTTTAATTAAAAAAATATTTTCCTGCATGGCAATGTATTAAAACGGCATTTTGCATTTTAAGTGGATATATTTTTTGGCGAATTGGTTTTCGCGAGAATTTTTATGAACATGCTTCAATGGGTTGACGAAAACAATTTAGCAAGTATTCAAATTTAATTGTTAATTTATTTATTAGTCAACAACAAATAAATTATTGATTTATTAACAGCTGCTTATAAGTAATAACATAAGTAAAAATCTTATTTACAAAAACGTAAAAGTAATAAAGTTCACCTTAAAAGTTAACTCAGTATTGCTAGCATACAGCATAAAGCAGATTTAAATGTAAATGTGAATAAGAAATTAAGCTTAGTTTTTTTTCTCTATCTCTCTCTCTCTAGCTAATTGTCGTTTATGTTGTCGTGGGAGGTATTTAACTTAAGTGAATGATATCGGTAACCCGGATGACTTTAACAACTTGTATAACTTTTACAGCAAATTCCATAAAAATGCATCTTAATCTATTGTTGAACATTATTTCAGTTTGTCTCTGTTACTTTTATTCCCATAGCTAGTTCAGTATTATACCTGTCGTCTCCATACATTGGACAGTCGGTCAGGACATGGGTTGTTTCAGTTAGGAGAATCAAACGTAATTTTACACAAAGATATATGTTTGTATAGAAAACTAGTTTTTTGGTACTAAGCATGCATTTCAATGGAATTCGTCTAAACAATTACTGGCGTTACAACTGTCAAAGTTTGCTTTGATATAAATGTCACATACAAAGTTATATAAATTTGTCTATGAACAGTTACGAAGAAACTTTACCAGTAGAGGGCGCAGATTTAATGTTGGCTCTAGAATCTCTCGTCATATCTACGGGACATGCTCCACAACAGAACATAAGGCCACTGAGGATTGCCTTGCGATGTTTGGTAAGTGGTCAAGATTCTTATACCAACTTGCCATACAATAAATAAATGAATAAATTCAAATAAATAAATACATATGTTTTTCTTTTTCTGTAATATTTTGTTGAATCTGTGATGAAAAGTGACACAACTGTACAAAAGAGTAAATTTTGTAGTATTAATGGGCTCGGAGTATAAACTTACAATTGACCACTTCGCTGTCTTTGTGATTAGACGGAACTAGTTTTTTTTGCTGTCTACGAACAGGTAGTCTCCTCGGCAAAAAAACAACTCGTAAAGAACCGCCGCGGCGGCTATGCAAATATTTTTCTTCTTTAGTTCTTTAAGTTTTTTCAAGTATCAAGATTACTGTCGAATTATAATGACGTAACACGTATCAACATCATAATTAAGGTTGCATTCTCAAATCCAATGTAGCGACACGTACAATCACTTCAATAACGTTACATTCTGAAACGCGCCAAGAATGTTATTCCGGCCGCTAAGGATATCCTTAGGTCGGAGGAATGGTTCTCTTTCCGCAGACTCACGGTAAATATAGGTACACATTGAAATCTGATGTCAAGGAATTTTGAGCATTAAAAAAAATTGCAATCCAAATTTTACTACCAATTTTTTCTTATGAATTATGCCTTAAAATCTTAGGTTCAATTAAGTACGGCGGAACCAATGTTGTATGCAGAGCGAACCGCCGCAGTAGTGGGAGCTCAATTGTCAACGACAAGAGAAGAGGCCGGGGGCAAACGACAGGTGGCGCTGCTCGAGGCTTTGGCGGCTTTGGCTGGATCGCACTGTGCGCCCGCGCTTCAGTTCTTGCTACCAGCTTTGGAGGCTACCAAGTAAGAATTTATATAAAATATTTACTTAGCAGGCTTGTTGATTATTATAATAGATAACTCTAGTTTGCATCATTTACGAATAACAACAGTAACGCAAGCAATTTCGGATTTTATAATAATAAAAAAAAGCACATAATGGACATCACTTATAAATTTTTATTATGTACCTAATCTTACGGGCTGTCCCAATTTTTTTTAAATTTCAAATATATATTATAGCCTATGTTATTATGGTATAATCTAGCATTCTAATAACCCTTGGGTTCTTTGGCGAAACCCGAGAGGCGGCGTAAGGAGGGCTGAGTGTGTGAGTTTTTTTTTGTGGGTAGGGTCGAGACCCTATAGTGTAGTGTAGTGTACCCTTTGAGTGTAGACCCAGCCCCACAGTCCCCGCGTCAAGTCCGACATCCAATCGCATTTTTACCTCATTAAAAAAAACAATCTAATGGGGAAATAAATTTTTAAACTGCAGTAGTTTTTAGAGTTTCTTAATATTTTTAGTATTGATGTGAGTGTGTGTGTAAATTGGAGAAAACATTCCCTGGTTTTTAATACCAGTCCTCCATGAACGTAAACGAGACGTCGCCCTTTTTAATGAAGGCAAGGTAACGGATAGTATTTCTCATAGATTTTTTATTTTTTAGTACTAAAATATTGCTTTCTTATTTACTTTACCGTGTATAATTTTAAAGGGAAGCATCGCTAACTGACCCGTCCTACGATGGTACAACGCTAGTGCTGATCTGCACTGTCCTACTCCAAGAGAGATCCAGAGCTGCCCTCGCTATGAAGCTAAATTCTTCTTGGATGAAGAGGATCCACGATGCTATTACCGGAGCCGATGGCTGGACCAGATATAGGGTTGCAAAGGCGGCGTTAAGGTAATCAAGTTTCAAGTTTATGTATTATATTGAATAAATAAATGTAAAAGCAAACAACTATAACTTAACTATACTCGGCCTTATAACAGGTAGATTAAAGATTAAACTATATTGGTTGCCATGGTTACGACATTGCTTCCAAACATACAACATGGTAACCATGGTAACAATATCGTAGTAACTAATCTGCATGTTATAAGGCGGTTATATATATGAGCATTTCCCTTTATGTATCTAGAAACTTCTGTTCATTAATCGTATTAAATTAATTTGGCCGATATGATTATATTGATGATATTATGCAGATATGGGCACCATAACCTAGCGGCGGACATATTGAAACGTCTCTCCGAGGAAGCCCCAAGTGAGTCGGCTCAACGCTGGCTCATAGCGCTCTATAGGGCTGCCGCTGCTGATGCTAAACTTTTGGAGGATGGTTAGTATTGCCTTTTCATTTGACTATCCCTCATGTTTCCTATCACTCATGTTAATAATAGTTTGGTAATTTCTTTAAAGTCATTTTCATTCATGACCAGTCCATGGGACAATAGTTGAACATTTTTTCAATGTTTACGCGGGCCTTCTAGCCATGCCAAGTATTCTGAATTTTTCGTGATTTTTTATTTAGATTGTCTAGAACTCCGCAATAAATTAACCTATGTTCATAATATGTCATGTGTTTAATAATAGTAATAGTAGTAAGTTTTTTTTGTCAAATTTTAAACGTAGGTTATTAAAATTGTTTCTGTAAATACGTTTGAATAAAAGTTGTTAGAAATCTTTAACTGCAGCTACCAGTTTATCTAGACGCATTTAAACAAGTTTTTTTCTCGGTCCTTCGAAACGGAATGGTTTCATAAGTAGCTTACAAAAAGCTAAACTTAAACTATTGTATGGGTATGAACTTCTAAACGGTAACACCAATACTTAGAAAAACTATCGTATCGTAACTTGTGCAAAGAGAACAGTGAACACCCAACTTCAATGTTGAGTTTATGTATCACGCCATCCCAAGGTGCCAGATGCAGCAATTTTGCCGCAGTCGCAATATTTCCTAACGTTACGCAGCCATGATCTTTTCCTTCTACCAACACATAATTAATTTCATTGCATGGCGCAACACGTGGCCCAGGTATGCAACTTTCGACTTGAAAGCACAATACAAAATGATATCGTACAAAAACATCGGAATCGCCGAAGTGACACTTTATATTAGTACTTTTTTAAGATGAAAAAGTGTTGTATATGTGGTATATTTTGTAGGCATCAGTGGGCTAGAAGAAGCAAGTGCCGGATGGGAGGCATTCGGCGACGCTGGGCTTTCCACTGGGCGTGGGGGGGTTTGCTCTACGGGCTGCGGGGGTTGTGCCGCTTGTTCTCCTCTGGCTGCAGCCTGGGCCAGTGCCAGGGCAACAGCTTTAATGGCCTTGGCTAGAACCGCTGCGGCCGCAAGGGCCGTTTACACGCAGCCTCCACCGGCTATTGCGCTTGCGCATGCGCAGGTAAGAAACTTAAGAATTATAAACATTTCAATTGACAAATGTTATGGTTTGTTATTTTAATACAAACAATCGTATTTTAAAGTGCAAAAGCGCATTGTTCAACAATTCGTCGCATCCTTACTTCCCATAGATACTGATTGTTGTACTAGCAAGTTAACTGTAAACTAATGTTTCTAAAAGGGTTAAATTGTTTTTAAAGTGATAATTATTCATTTCGTAATCCTACAGCTAACATAAATGATATATAACAAAAAACAATTACACTCAAGATATAGCCAAAGATGACATACTTATATTTAAAAAAAAATTGTGCGTGTACTAGGTGTACACACGTAAGAAGTGAAACTTCTTTATGATCTTATTATTCGAAAAATGATCTACTATATGCAACTTTACAAAAATTCGTTAAATTAGATAAAGTTTAACAAAAGGCTTTTATTATCATAGACATGAATACAAATATTTCATTTTACCTTATTACTACGAAGATTATTATAGAATTTCATTAATTGTAATAGAATTATTACTATCTTTGAAAAACGTGACGATTTGCTACAAAATTTCTCCCATACGTCGATAAAGAAGTTTCATTCCAACGCCGATAAAGAAGTTTGACTTCAAAAAGCAACATGGCGCGTAACCGAAAAATGTGACGCGTAACGAAAAAATTTTACACTAAATTTTTTTCCAACCTCGATAAAGAAGTTTCACTTCAAAAAAAGAAATAAGTAAGTAATACCTAATTCGGCTATGTTGTGTAATGGTACGTGTGTGAGCGCTATGGATATTCTTAATACTCATTTTAAGCAAATTCCACTATAGCATAAACAAGTCAATACTTTTCATTAACCATCTACGGTTACAATAAAATATATCTCAAAAAGGCAGCCCGCGATCCCGCCGCTCGTGCAGGCGCGTGCGTGACTGCGTTACGTCGCGCGGCACGGGCGCTCAACTCTTTAGCGCAACGATACGGCGCCATCTCCCGGACCGCCTTCCACGCTCATCATTCTACACACAGACTGTTCAATATGTATCCTTTTTACATTCGGATTGCGGAATTACGCGCCCATGGCCAACGTACTGATATTTTGATGTTAAGATTGAAGGCACTTTTGTTTAACATTGAGAATCATGAGTTTTTAATAACGTATAAAAAAATTAAAAGTCAAATTCACATTAAAAGCAAATTATGATGAATAAATATATATCTCAGTTCAAAGACAACAGACAGTTCCGCCTGTCTTGTGGGAACCTTATCAGAATGCCAAATCGTAAAATGACTGCGTCACGACTAATTTGAGAGCGACCGCCGATGACAAAACCGCTGTGTGAGTTACAGAATCGCAAGGCAGAAATCATAAAATTATACACGTTACTATTCCTGTTATATAGTTTGCACTAAATAATTAAAAATAAATCAGTGGTGATACAACCTTTTTAGGTCTGGGTCTCAGATTTTTGTTAATAAGAACCCAATTATTTGTTCATACTATAACAAAACGGACAATAAACTACTTCTTGACCGTATCTTCTTTATGATATATTTCCCTATCCAAAACAGTTCTCAGTACACGTACAGCCAGTTGGCTCAATTCCTAGAACGGATAACGATGAGCCAAGTGGAAAGACCGGAACTCACTAACAAAGAGCTGAAGCCAACCAGTCTAGAAGAGTCAATAGCTCTGTCTCCATCGGTTGCTCTGGCGGAAATATCTGCCAAGCTTTTTGACAACCCTACCACTGGATCCGGAATTTCGCATAGGGTATAATATACATTTTATTTTGTAAATGTATTTTAAAATTATTACTATTATTATATTTTAATAGTTAGGATAGCTTTCTTTGGTTCATATTAAATCGAAAATAAATTACACATCTGAATTATTATTACTTACTAAATAATTATTGTTCTGGGACAAAAGTATATGTAAATATAATGTATACTAGAGTATACATTTTGGAAAATCTAAACACTGTAATGGTTTAAACAATGATGATAATAAAACATTTAGAATCAAGAAATACCCATCATTTTTTAAAATCAAAATTAATCAGCACTACAGATCAGTGAACTCCTTTTGAACGTCTGTCGGAATCGATGATAAAATAATAATAAATTTTACTCGCAGCATCTAGAAGCAGTTATAGCGGCGGTACGCGCATGTGCAGTGGGTGCAGTGTGGCCACGCTGCGTATGCGCAGGCGGAGGCGCGGCAGCTCTTTGTCGTGTCTCCCTGTCCCCCCCTTGGAGGCCTCCGCCGGCTGATCACGCTGCCACTTTGCCTCTGTCGCACAGGCTGGCCCTGAATTTAGAAGGAGTCATATTGCCACCGCATAGGTAATTGTTGGACGGTTCTATTCGAGGGGACTGGGCTCTGGGGGTGAGGGGCTATTTTAAAACATTGACTTCATGGTTATATTACAAACATTTCACACATTAAAAATAATATAATTATAAACCCTAGGATGTTTTACTCTTCGCGTCTAGAAGAGAATTACATTTCCTAACAGAAAACACCTGTTTTAAAATTTGGATAAACATTCCCTTATTTGAAAAACTGTTTCTTCACATGTGACAAGTGTTGCCTGCTATTACTTACACATTCAAACTCCAACAGTAATGCTTTAAAAAATATGAGTTTTATGTCTGCTCATGCAATTTATTTATTATTTTAGTTTAGCATCGGTTCATGATGATAGTCCACTGTTGCTCATGGGTTAAAGCCTAGTGAGCACGGGAGATTTTCGTTTGTATTGCGCGGACTACCAGTTTATTTGAAGTCATGTTTTTCATTGATTTTTAATTTTAACCTTAAAACTTTCTCAATTGTACTTTTTCATTTCAATCTGTTATCTACAGAGCGAAGAAAGTGCGTTTTTTGGGTAGCTTATATTAGATTTGTCGGTTTACTTAGTTACCTAGGTAATTAAATTAATAGATAACTAATAATAATATCAAATTACCTTCAATGGCTCAAAATATATAAATATTAAACTGTCTTTATTTAAAAAATATTTGAGGTGCTTGACTTAATGTCCTATAACTCCTAGATGGGGCAGAGGGTGACCATCGCGTTCGGTCTTGAGCCTCGTATTTCACCTCGCTCCACGTCTTTTCGGCTCTCTTTTTCTCTTCTGTAACTGGTCGACGCCAGGTTTATTTGGGACGGCCACGCTTCCGCTTTCCTTGCAGGTCCCAATCAAGCGCCTGCTTGAGGATATGATTGGAATCTCTTCGGAATATATGGCCTATCCATTTCCACTTGCGTCGCTTGATCTGCTGGCTACTCGGCTACTCGAGGTTTCTCGGCAGCGCTCCCAAAGTTGCTCGGTAGAAATCTTTTCTGGCCAGTAGATGCCCAAAGATTGGCGGTTGGCGAAGACTTGGAGTCTTTGGTGACCTTCCCCGTTTCACACCCATAGAGCAGCACAGATTTGATGTTGAATTTAATGTATTTGTTACCCGATAAACCATATACCCACCACGTATATACTGTATTTATTCTAGCAACAAGAAGAAACCAATAAGACAAGTCAAAGGCGTACAGATAACCGTGACAGCGACACCGCATCCGCGGACCAATGAAAAGGTATCAAATAAAAATAGCCTGTGTTCGAGTACTACATAATTAGGATTACATTAAATCCATCGTTTAACATACCCGACCTGCGACGAAGTGAAGCCCCCATTTTCCTTCCCCGCTTTCCCTTTTATGACATCCAGCCAAGTGGAGGGCGTCCTTTTTTTTTCAATAAAAAGGTTTGCGAAACTTATTTGAAACTCGTAAGCCTAAGGGTTTTTTATAAGGTTAGCCTTCTGTGTCTACTAATGAATATATCTTCACAAGTTTTTACCGTATTTTGACAATTTTAAACAAGGACAACAGCGCAGAGTAACAGCAAGATCAGTGTTGGCAATGGCTTCAGCGTGCAAGCCCAATGCCTGAGGACGTAGGTTCGATCCCGGGCTGTGCAGCACTAGACTTTCTGTCCATGTGCGCATTTAACATTCACTTGATCTGTGAAGCAAAACATCGTGAGGAAACCGGCTCATCTTAGACCCAATAAGTCGACTTACTTACCCAGAGGGTAGATCATGTTTTAGAATCTTACCCTTAAGAATTCGTCTAAAATTGCAATATGTATATTCATGACTATTTTATTTGTGTTACTTCAGACAGTGGAATTAACAAACATCCCACCAGTGTTGACCGCCGTTCAGACAGTAACCCCGATACGAGATTTCTTCTCCGCTCAGCAATTGGTCAGTGTAAACGCGGCCGGGCTCTATACGGTGGCAGTGGAAGCTGCTTTCGTCGACGATAAAGGAGAGTTATGGAATACAGGGCCCAGGTCATCTATTGTGATTAAGGTAGGTACCATGTAATCTTCAAAATATTGTGAGATTACCAAGCAATATTTTGAAGTGAATTAAAAAAAAATTGCCAACGGGAATTACGATAAAGTCTCATATCTTGAAAATAATAAAAACTAATTGTACATCTTTAACAGGCAAACACAGCAGGGTTTAAACTTAAAAATAATTTCTAACAGTAATCTGAAACCATAAATACGTGATTTAAAATGCAAAAAAAAAGATTGTTTGATTAGTAGACAAAAATTTTGGAAGAGATAGATCTGTCTATACCAATATTACAACTGCGTTTTATATTAAAAGATTCCTCTCTTTGACGTTGATTAATTATTATTAGAGCGTGTTAATGGTGTGTCATTCCGTACTAAGTAAGTAATTTTCGTTCAGTCATAATTTAGGAATCAATACTGTATATATATTTTTTAAATTATCATGTAGTTATTCTAGTTTATATGCTTAAGTGGCTAAAATATGTATATTCACCTGAATAACTCTTCTTTTAGAAAGGATTTTATTCATTCATATAAAAAAAGCATCGTAATATATAATATTTTTAATTTGCAGGCTCATGAAGACCCAAGTACTAAGGGCAACGCACAGACCACTAGAAGTCGCTTTTAATGCGATATTATTAGATATACGTTAGTCTTGTGAATAATAAATATTTTTAATCATGTTTTTTATGTATTACAAGAAATTGAACCCCTAGACTTATTAAACAATTGACTCAAAATGCGTTTGTACTGTACCCAGCGGAAAAATAGTCCTCAAACTAAAATCTATTTTATTTAATCCTATATACCATCCTATTAAAAAAATTACGTATAAAATGGGTATGATTTTTATTACATAGGGTAAAAGCCGGATAGTTGCCTCGGACGGATACATGCCCCGGTGTTTAAAAAACTATGTTAAGTTGTATTGGCGCTTTACTACAATAAGTAGTGACTGCCCCTCAGGCCTAAATGCCACGTAAGCCATCGGAATAGACCCAAGTGTTTTGTCCGTGTCAGCAAAAATCTTCCGCGGCGAAACTTTGACGGGCGTTATAATTATATTGGTAAGTAATTTCTACTGAATATTTTTATTACTGATCGTGGTTTCAGTCAACTTTTTGTTTCTTTGCATGCATTAGAGTTTAAATTACACTGTTTATCATGTTTTATTGCTAAATAATTTTTATTTATTTCGCAAATATCCGCATCAAAAAGGATAGTCGCCCTACTTACTGTCGCGGATAGTTGCCCCTAGAGTGACTAAAAATTTCTTAACACGCAAAGACAAATTTTATTTTTTTGCTGTTTTTATATGTTTATTCGAATTTACTTTGTCTCTAACTTGTTGTAAATTAAATAAATATCTACTTCACAGTTTTATATATTTATTATAGATAAGCAAAATGCCTCATCAACATCAACTGGACAGAAGATAGCTTAGCACTTGCCTTCGAAAAATTGAGACAAAGTTGGGATTAAAGCACAACTTTATTAATGAGAGTAAAATGGCTGGACCTCAATGGCTTAATCGCGTCTGTGATCTTAGTTTTTGTCATGTCCCATTTGTATTTGGTGAATCTTCACTACTTTCCACTTTGAAAAGTTTACCCAAGGCAAAAACAAAGACAAACCAAAACGTATCGGCAATAAAAAAGAAACGATTTTTTTTTAAATATCTTGTACACAAAATAATATTATCCGTTTGTCAATTGATATTGACATTTGACATACGGAATTGTTGTCGCGGCATTTTAGATTTTCATCGAAACAAAAAAATTATCGACCTCTCAAGATAAGATAATTATAATTAGGTTGTTGGAATATCACCAAAAATAACCTGAACAATTTGCCCAATTGTTCAGCTCAATAATATAACTCCATTTCATGCTATGTGGTACTTACTAGTTTATAATTAAACCTATAACAAAAAGCAGGTAATTCCATCCTAACTAAATCTAATTTTTTAAATCGGACTAATCATGAATATTAATAGGTAGCTTTGACCGTGAACGTATGAGATCATAGATTTAAAAGATTACTATTACGTAATAATTATTAAATGCAATCTTGATTGTCTCGATCACGTCAAAAATATAACAGCCATATTATATTAATGGTAGGGGAGCCCACGATGCTAAATGGGGATTTACTCGAGCGTCGTAGAGACCTATTGGGATGCAAAGCTTAGATAATAAGAAGAAAAAAATGTTATATGATATATACCTTTTCATCGGTGGGGGAAGCGGCTATAGATTGTTAAATATGTAAAAAAAACTGTTGCATGGACATCCTCGAGCGCGTCAGATATTGATAGCATCAATGCCCTACGTATTTTTAATAATGTACGTATGTTAATCTGATCGTTTGCATGATGCGGGTGGTTGTATTTAAGGGTTGAAAATGAAAAAAATAAAAATTATCGAGCGCGTCAGATTTTCTAAGGGAGTGTTAAGTGCACCAATAAAAAGCTCTCATTCACTAATCTGACGATTTCGATGGGACGCAAACCCACGGCCATTTTCATAATTTGCAAAAAAAAAAACGCAATTTTGAAATACTCAAGCGCGTCAGATTAAGATATATGTGGTTCATCTTTATGTTCTAAACGTACTGTCTCATAATCTGACGATTATCTAGAGGGATTCGCCTGATCTGACAAAAAAAATTTAGAAAAACGGTTCACCTAAAGGGCCATCCCTGCAACTTCCCGCTAATTCCATTCCTGGGCGCTTAAAATTGATATTTTGAGCTCGCTGAGTTCAAAGAAATAATATTTCTATGCATTTGAGCTCTCCCAGCTCGAAAGTCTGATAGAAGTTTCATAGAACACTATTTTTGGAATTTTCAAACCGCAATAACTTTTGAATGGATCAAGCAATTTTCACGCGGTTGGCGGCATTCGACGCAGTTTTATCATCCTCATATGTAATTTTGCAATTTTAATTGATCGAACCACAAATTTCGGAGTAATCCCGAAAAAACACTTTTTCGGGTTTCTTTCGTTCACGATATCTCTCGAACGAATCAACCGCTTTTGACCAGCTTGGTGGCGATCGACGTGGTTTTTCAAGCTCAAAGGCGGATTAGTTTTTGAAGTTGATCGATAAAGAAACCACTTTAAAAAAAATATTTCTTATTTTTTAAGATTTTTCAAAATTTCTCAAAATCTATCGGTCCGAATCGGTTCAAATTCACAGGAAATGTAATTTTGAGGGAAATATTTAGAACGCCGTTTAGTAGATTCCGATCGGTTTAAGGAAATGTAGGCATCACGCAGCTGCACGCATTTAACTTTATCGACGAATTTTTGTTATTTCGGCTTGCGGAAATCGTCAGATTATATATTTTTCATTATTCTTGAATTATTTCCTTCAAAATAAAAAAATTTTAGCTACGCTCGAGAATGTCGAGATGACGTTTTTTTTTTACAACTTTGTTGCCCTCCCCTTTTTTTACGTCACTTTCAAATTGTCAGATTAGTGGAATATACACTTTTTAGGATGTAATTAACTCACCCTACCTTAATCTGACGCGCTCGGGAATTTCTGATGGTCAATTTTTTTTTACTAATCTGATCCTGTCTCCTTCACGGGCGGCCTTATATATGGGCCTCATATTTTGTGGAGGTACTTAACCGGGTACAAGGTATCCCCCTATATATTAATCTGCCGCGCTTTAGTAAATCCCGAAATCCCCTCTTGGGCTCCCCTACCATAACAGGACATTCATGAAATGAGTAGCGAAGTCTATTGGTCCGTTTTACGTCCTGGTTTTGAGAACTGGCAGAAATTTTAAATTATTACTCATATTTTCCTAACGTTTTTATTTTATTTTTATGTATTTAATGTATGGTTTTTCGTAGCATGATACAGTAGGTACTTAACTAGCACACACAAACTCACTGATTATATAAATCCAACCTGGAGGCTCTTGAGTCTGATTGCTGCAAATACCTACTAGATACAATTGTATCCAGTAAAAGGAAAAGTAAAGCTGACTTGCACTCAATTGCTATTAATGGTATCTTGGAAAGGAAAAAAAACGTAGCATTGGGCATGTAACATTTGCTACAGTAGATATTGCTATTCAGCACAACACACTGCATCACTCCGACTTGAGCAACATGCAGTATCGTCGCTGATCGTACACAATTTCGACCCACTGCGAAATACGCGGCGTACGATTCCGACTCAAACAAGCAAGCAACACCCGGCTTCATGCCGGCCGATCAGTGGTTAGACTGTTCCTGGATCCTCCTTTTAGGTAGGAGGAACTGTCTACCATCCCTTTCCCACAATTCAATAGCTATTTGAGATGGAGAAGTAATAGCCTTAGGAATTATATGATAAATACCAAAGATCCTACGTTTACACAATAGCCTTTGCTTATTATTTAAAAAAATATAACATAATTTAATCGTCGTTAAGAATAATAATACTAAAAATTATGGTATTTCTTTAAATAATATTAATAATAAAAAATATTTTAAATAATAATATAAAAAATATTTGCACGTTTTTTGTGCATTTATCGCTTTGTGAACAACGAATCGCTCAAGGTTATATTAATTCTAGCATTTCCTCGATCTAATAAGACAAATATTGCACATTTTTAAATGAGGTGCTTAACCGCAATACTATCAATCAATAAACTTTAATCCAAAAATCGCGTCTCTTTGTTAACAAATAGAGAAACATACGCAAAATATCACTGATAACGGCTATCAGAGGTACGCTGATAAGCAATTTACCTTACAATATCATAACATAGTCGGGCATTGACGAATGACGACCCATATACAATGAATGTATTTACTTGTGCACTCGTTTTTATTGCGTATAGCCATAGAGTCCAAAGTGCAACGTTGTGTGACAGTGATTTTTGTGTGTGCCGTGTTAATCATAGTGAAAATGAGGATTTTGGTGAAACAATAGATTGCTCGTACAATCCTAGAATTTTAAAAGACAACTACGAACTCCCTGATACAGTGTATTCTTTAGATTTATCCTGGAATAATTTAACTGCTATATACTCAACGAAAATCTTCAAATCAAACACATTAATTGAATTACTATTAGATAACAATAGAATTACGGAAATTGAAAGCACTGCCCTACAATTTCCTAAGTTGAAGAAACTCGATTTAAGCAACAACAATTTAAATATTATTGATAAGGAAACTTTTAAAAACATAAACCAATTAGAGTATTTAAACCTTGCCAATAATAAATTTCACACAGTGTCCTCATTATCATTTCATCACGTCGGAGGTCTATCGGAAATTATTCTCGACAACAATGATTTAGGAATAAGCCTGAAAGATATAAACTTATTTGATAGAAGTGGATACGGGCTGACTCATAAAATTCGATCATTATCAATAAGTGGAATCAACCTAAATACAGTCTACGATAATTTCTTCGTCGACGCATACGATATAAGGAAATTAATCATTTCTAATAATAACATAAGCGCAGTATTTGAACTGCCCATGACACTAGAATATCTGGATTTGTCGGATAATCCAATAAGTGAGATTTCGGGGGAAGATTTTTCTGATGTCCCGGCTTTGAAAGTTTTGCTACTGAATAATTTGTCAATCAATGAAGTACCAGAATTTGCTTTCACGTCATTAAGAGGTCTTGTAAGCCTGCAACTCGAAAGAAATACAAATTTAACTGATTTTAACGAACTTGCGTTCGGTCAAGATGTCTTAGAAGATGCAGATGATTTTACGTTAGAAAACTTATCTCTAAAGGGCTCTAGACTGACGACTCTTTCTAATAAACTAAGTATTCCCTTTGGACAGCTCGTACATTTGGATTTACAGGGCAACTTGTGGAATTGTGACTGTAGTTTTAAATGGATAAAGAAGCTGCAGATTAATGATAAATATTCAGAGCATTTACGGTACGTGATTGAAGTAATATATATGTATCTACTTATAGCTAAATGTACTGGTTACCGCTTTTGTAACACATGGATATATTATCTTGTGTTTGATTTCCTGAAAAATAATGTGTATCATGTTAAAAGGCAAGACAACTGATGTGTAAATTCAATTCACTTTAATTAATAAATTAAAAATTATTTAGGGATTGAAAAATGTGTTAGCTTTCTAAATTACAAACTTAAATATTTTTTTCAGATGCTACACACCACGGCCATTCTTTAATAGTAAAGTAATGGATTTAGAACAAAAGTATTTCTTGTGTTCTGTGGAGAGGCATTTGACCGGAATAGCAATCGGCACTATTTCGGCCTGTGTGTTGCTGGCCTTTATTGCTGCGTGGATTTATGTGATGGTGCCCAAACACCAATCAAGAAATAATTTCATCAAAAATATGTACTCTTCTCCAGGGTACTCGTTATTACCTGTTCATGTGAACCTCAACGATGGACCTTAACGTATATTTGTTATGCATTTTTGCCACGCAACGCTATGTGGAACAAGTTACCTCTAAGATAGGTCAGATGCCTTAATAGGAGTATTTAAGAGTAGAGCGTATTCATGGGGAGCCAGAACAATAATGGGAATATATCATTGACATTACGTGAAATTCTAGTCCATGATATTTATATTGTTTTTCGAACGTTTATAAATTGTTAATCGCATTGTCTAGTTTATGGACCTGCTTGTAAACTCCATTGTTACTTGGGTAATGACATATTTAAATTATTTTTGATAATTAAAAAGTTTTGGGTGATAGGAATTTCTTTTTTTAAGTATTATTAATCCTATTACCATTATTTTGTATTTTGCTATTCACTTCATTGAATGGTAAGTATAAGTTACTAGTTGCGGTATGATAAAATTAATATCTACCAGATGAAGAAGTCAAGTTCTGTTGGACACAAGATTATAATAACTACCTTACATTTATTGGTAGGTATAATCTGCATAAATTCATAAGAAATGCAGATTATACTTAGATTAATGATAACTTTATGTCTAAGCATAATATTTCCATAATACATTTTAGGAAATAAAACAAAGTTTAAATTCACTTTATATATTTATAAAATACAAAAGTGTACAAAGTTTACAATTGTATAAAAACTTGTGCTACATTGAAGGCAAAGATTTGTGCTTATTAAATACATTTGGCCCTAAGTTAGTTCACTTAATATTCGCTTACCATATACTTCAAAGCGGGTTAACAAACAATTTGGTTACACGTAATGTATTCGAACGATTAGTTCCAAATATAACGGGGCGCTGTTCAAGTTACATACAAAAATCTATCATTATATTAAGTTTATTAGTAAATTTTCGTGTTGTTCTTGTTAAGGATATTATAACTCCACCATAAGTTAAAGTATGAAACGCTAAGTCAAAATACGACGAAATTTTATGAAATTTAGATTCGCGTATAATAGTAGTTGTAGGTTAGTTAAACTCGAGTTACAGCTACTAGTATCAATAATACAAGCCTTGATACATTTATACTCTGGAAACACACAAATACAAAAATTGATTTACCTAAATCTTACATCTATATAAGCAGGCACAAGCGTTTTACAAAAGGCTGCAATTGAGCGTTTGTTTACAATCAGTCGATATAGCCATAGGCATTGTAATACACCATAAAACCGAAACGCAGTATTAACCAAATACAATAGTCATATGAGAAAAGTTGTCTGAACCCTCTAATTCCTAAAAGAAAATCAGTCCGATATTTCTGTCAAATAGGCGCTACAACTTTTCTAATAGACATGACTTAGATCGGCCTTCTCTGTCTACACATTAATTGTGTTTTATTTGATGAAAACAGACAGTTTAAACAGTGAAATTAGGGAATTTAAATTTAATGAAAAAGGGGGTATTTAACTAATTTTCTATGATTGAGATTGATTCTTGTCGAGCCATCGGGAAGCCGGCCGAAAGCGGGTATAAATTTGTACTTAATCGCACTTGGGACCAGTCCAAAAAACACGACACCAAGTCCGAGCTCCAAGGGGCTTGTTAATTAAATCCGCAACTTAAATGACAACGTGGGTACTTGGCATGTTTTTACCTCGAGACGTTTTTGGTTCTCATCGAGTGTGTACAGCTGCCATTTTGATATAAAGAAAAAGTGCTTTATGAAATTATGGTAATCACTGATATGTAATTTACCTTTAAATGTTAATTAATTCCCAAACAATTATATTTATTGATACCGATGTCTATTTTGCGTTCTTTGGTCATTTGAGCTTTCTTTAAACAGAGAAACCTTGACTGGGTAATTTTAATTTTATTCCTAGCCTTTAAAATATCTACCTACTATTCCACAACCCTTTACACAAACCACTAAAAACATTGATCCTCGCTTGCACTATGTAAATGATTCCATAATTTTATTTCTCATTTTTTGTATTTTTCGATAGAACAAAATCGCAAATTACAGCAAATCAAAGAGATTAAAATACATAGCGTACTGAAAAAAAACAGTGGCGCTACCTTATTAGGTCTGGGCCTCAGATTTCCGAACCTGTTTCATGATCATTTTGTCAATCTAATAGGCAATTAGGTGATCAGTCTCGTGTGCCTGACACGCGGTCGACTTTTTGGATCTAAGGCAAGCCGGTTTCCTCACGATAATTTTCCTTCACCGTTCGAGCGGATGTTAGATGCGCACATAGACAGAAAGTCCATTGGTGCACAGCCGGGGATCGAACCTAAGACCTCAGTGAAGCCTCTAAGCCAACAGTGCTCTGAAAAAATTGTGACATAAAATCTGATACCGGGAAAATTTAAAAAAAAATGACTTTTTAGACATTTGAAGTTTTCCGCCCTTATTGTATTTTAATCTCTTTGCTTTAATTACAAATTAAATATTGATCTATATATACTTAGCTATAATAAATATAATTATGTACTACGATGTGAACTTATAATCTATGTGAACTTATAATCTATGTATGTAGCATGGCGGTAATTTTTTGTTGTAAATTATAGAAATAAAAATATACATAATATCTCTTGATGTTCTGAATGTTTTTTTAACCATTGTCGTAACATCATAGAATTAAATAGCTACTGTAATACAAAAAAAGTTAAGAATTTAATATTTACAAAAACAGCAGATTTCACTAGCCAGAAAATATTTTTCAGAATTTAGTTCCATAGACATAAACAACAGACAAAGTGATCGCTGTCAAATAAGACTAACAAATGCTCGGCCAAACTTTTTTTTTGCATTTGCATTCATATAAATTTTAATACGAAGAAAAGGATACGCAATAATTGATTTAAATTTAATTGAAATTTTTTTGCAATCATATATTTCAATTAATATCTAATCATTAATAGTACTTAGTCTATTCTCTATGTCCAAGTGTTTATAAAGATATGAAGTTACGCTTATAGGCTATCACCCTTATTCATAAAAAGTAAAGCGTCTAATTGCACAGATTAAAGTAGACTCATCTGTCTCTTTTCAACACAGCTTAAAAACAATTTGCCAGAAATAGACGAAAGAGCATTTTGTCTAAAGAGTGCAATTTGATTGATATACCTTTTACGAATAAGGTAGTTTTATTATATACTAACTACGTAAATAAAGTCTATTCTCTTTTCCTAAATTTGTGCTTGAAGTTTAAGGCCTATAACTAAAATATGACACAAAATATACATTGAGTATAATTGCTATCCATAAGTCTTAAGAATGGCAATAAAACATAAATTATACAAAAAAATATATCGCAATTTGAACTCACTGAGATTCATAATAATTTCAATTGTTTTATGAGTATTAAAAAAATATCGTTACATTTGATATTAAAAAATGCGAGAATTAATAAAAATAAATTAGATTCTAAAACGAAACTGGCAACACCGAACTACAAATACAAGGGTTCGGTATATCCTGTTCCAATCTTGTCCTGTCTAAACCTATTTTAATCTTAAATGTTGTCTTTATTCAATACTTATAGTCATTTTACAATAAAATATATTTAAGAAAAATGACGTCATCAATAAGTTACGTCATCACTGTCATACAAGTCTCATGTCATCTCTAACGCAAATCTCCTCCTGTCAAACGGACGTCTCGCTATTCAGCCTTAATACAAACCTATTGCTCTTCGGATCCACCACTTCCTCGCTCAAATTAAATTTGGGCATCTGTTTTATGGAACAAATGAGAGAAATATCGCCTTGACGAAGCTGAAATTCGATGTTATCAGCTAAAGGACGGGCCAACAGTTCGTCAGAAATCAGCGACCAGCGCTGCATTGTGCGTGCTTCTTGTTCCGCGGCCAAAACCGGTCCTTCGACTAAAAATGGTTCGAGAAACGCACGCGGAGATGCGTCTTGAGATAAACAACGAGCGAGGTGGGCTAGTACCTGTCGGACAACATTTATGAAACTTTAATATATAATAAACGTTAAAAGACAATTATAAACAGCAATACAGCTACCACCGTTGGTTTAGGTATTCGAGTCTTTGGCCTTTTTGAGTCCAAAACAAGCTGGTTGCATGTTTGATCTACTTGATAACATTCATTACGCAAATAGATAAGAAATCCATAGTAACAGAAGGACTGTCGCGCAAATAGCACTAAACAATGCCAATTTGAATAAAAATTTACTTAAATGTTTTAGGATTATTTTTTAACAATAAAAATGCCGTACAAACTTCAATAATGTAAAATAAGAAATTACTCTATTAACAGTACTTGGAATATTTAATAAGTTTAAGAAAGAATTATCAATCGGAAGACTCATCACCAAGCTTCCAGACAAAAACTAATTAACGTTTTACTGTAGATATTTATGAAATACAATAATTTATGTACACGATTTCTTTTTGACAATCAAGAAATTTGTAAATATTTTGTTCAATTTTGAAACTTACTGAGTCAGCTGAATGTCTCGGTTGTTGTCTTGTAGCTCGGAGGTACTTTTGCAGCGCACGAGCAAGAGATGGAAACACAGCCTGCGCTGCTTCACGGGGTCCTAAAGCGCCACCTGGTGATATAAAAATATTGCAATCATTTATAAGTTCCTGCATAGTAATGCAAAAGAATCAAGACTCTCTAGATAATTTCAAGGACGTAAGTAAATTGTGGGTCCTGCACCGAGTACCGAGGTTCTTTTGACAATCCTAATAAGGAAAAATAATAAAATGAGTAAAACCATATCAAATAAAATGAATAATAGATAATGCCCTTTCTTTTCGTAAAGATTCTAAATCCAAAATAATAATCCATCCATCAACCATCAAAGCATCCGTTTTTTTTATCATTTTTATTTCACAGACAAGTTGACCCACGTCTGACACATGTTGTTGATTTTTGGATTTGAGACAAGCTAGTGTTAAATGCGCAGATAGACGAAAGTTCGTTAGTGCACAGCCGGGAAACGAATCTACGATCTCAGGAGAGTTGCACGCTGAAGCCAATACTGCGCAGTACCATTAATAATTGCTACGAGTAGTTGATATTTATGAAAAAAAAAACAGCTTTCCCATGCGCTTTCTATAAAACATCAAATTACTGCTATTACATGTGGTGAGGTAAGATTTGAATTCTTTGTTTTAAAAAATAATATTATACAGCTTGGCTCCTATTCTAGAACGTCAAGCTTAAATTGTTCCAAGAGACGTCCGTTTTTATCTATATAAAGTTAAAAATATTTGATAATGCTCAGGATACAGTGACAACAAATTAGAATAAACTCTAACGACTCTGCAATTTACTTACCAGAAATATCGAATGATTTTTAATAATATCATGTATTTCAAGTAAAAGCGCCTACACACGGCCCTAAAATCAGAGACAATATCGGGGAAGTGGTGGCAGGCACCCTAGATCGCCTCGTGTGTAGGCAAATCGTACCCTAATTCTATTATCGACCCTACTGCTACTGCCGATTCGAACTACAAGCCGATTTCATCCCCACTGGCGATGACCACCATTGTCATTGTCCCGATATCGCCACTGATTTTAGGGCCGTGTGTAGACGCTTTAACACAATTTATTTTTGTTCGTAAGACGCTTTAACACAATTTATTTTTGTTCGTAAAAAACTAAGATTAAGGTCCATATTCTGATCAGTCTCATCTGGAGCGCTGTCAAATCTGTCAAACTTCATTCAGAAACAATGGTTTGTCAGCTCTTGAAACTACATTTAAGTCTGATTGTTATTCTAGATAGCAGGTGTAAGTTTAGTATGTGGAATCTCTCACAAGCAAAAGAAGATACTGCCACTCACCATTAGCCGACAACCGCACCCTTCTCACATGGGCAAAGGCATCTTCAGCTGCAGTGTGCAAGCGAGCACGTCTCTTGCGCACTCTTCTTTCTCTTTCTGCCTCTTCATAATAGCGCTCATTGTGGGCAGAACCCGAATCTCTACGACGTCCAGCACTACCAGTACAAGAGCCTGCCCCACTTCTGAAACATTAATTGTTTATCAATAATCAAAAATAAAGAAACTGTTGGTCTGTCTGTTTAATTGATGGATGAGATTGGCAATAGTTTAGGATTGTTAAATACAGAAGACTGATCATTTACTTGTGTTAAAATCGATAAAACAAAATATGCAGAGAAAATGCAACTGAGAGTTTAAGCTTCTAAGGAGAGTGAAATAAATTTGAAAATGTATAGTTTTTTATGCACATAATTTTAAGGAAGGTATTAAATTATTGTAAGTTAACATTACACTCACACTATACTAGGAAGCTTTCAGTGAAAAAGATTTTGGTAATACTGAATTTGCAGTAATTGTAAATTTTTGTTTGATGAACCTAAACGCCTCAATAGAGCATCGAACACACTTTTAAGCTGTTAAAATTGGTTGGCCATCTTTGTCCACCAACCCAAAACAAATATTAATCTGCTGGGAATCTAATCCTGTTGAGACTTGCATTACCAACTTTAATGCAGAGGCAATATGAAGGTTATTGCCATGCAGTGGCGTAACAATAGGGCAGGGCTGGCTAAATGCCACGGGCCCCCGCCCAAGAGGGCCCCTGCCCAAGAGATATTATGTTCTATGGATGAATGTGAAGTCTCCAATACGCAATAGCGTGGGGACTACATACCATTATACTACTACATAGTGGGACATAAACAGCGTGTAATTGAGTACGCTGAATATCTCGAAGTTTATTAAAATTAAACCGAGTATGGACGATTTTTACTGATAGGGCCCAATCAAAAGAATTGCCACGAAAGAAGATTTGCCACGGGTCCCAGATGGTATAGTTACGCCACCGTTGCCATGTACAATGCAGTAATTTTTAATCAGTGTTTTAGTAATGATTCACATATAACAAATTCAGCGCAATATTTTACAAAAAACCTTAGCAAAGTCATGATCATATTTGTATATTTATAATATGAAAATGAAAATTTTAAGGGAATAAAGAACCATAATTATTGTAAAAATCCATCATTTCTTACCTTGGTTGTCCAGTAGAAGCGTTAGTAGTTGAATCTACTTCATAAAACTTAATACTTGAAGCTGCTTTTCTCTGTGACTTTGATATTGGTATTTTCTCTAAATATGGGTTGTAAATCGGGAACTCTGTGTAATATTTCTGTAATACCCATACTGCAGCTCTTTGAATACTTAACTGTCCAATTGAATAGGACCTACTTTCACCGTCAGGACTTCTTACTATCTTTATATAATACACTGGTTCTAGGTGTCTAATCTCCATTAAAACTACAGCTGTATAATGTATAAAAAGCAGTGTATCAGCAAAACTAGATACATATGACACAAGTGATTTGTAGTCAACAGCTTCCTCACCTACAGCCAGTGCCTTTGTTGCCTCTGTGATTTGAACAATATAAAATAACCAGTAGGAAAATGTACACACCGATAATATAACAAACATCATAGCTCTAAACACAAATATTCTTGGTAATACTGCATTTCTCGGACGTAAAAACACTGCCCACACCCCAATCGCTAACAAAACTAATTTAAATGCTATAGAAAGAAGAATTCCTTTACATTCCCCAGTACATGATAATAACTGTATCCTTTGACTTGGCTGAATAGCAATATTGTCTGATAATCCAGGAAAAAATCCTATTTTTGGCAACACTACCATAGCTAATGGGCTTACAAAAGAAACAAATGAAAGCCCTAGCCCCACTGTAGCGGTAAAATATCTAGAGCAGACAAATCCAAGTCCATTATCTGATTCCATAGGCCAATTGCTAACATCCTCCATTGACCCTGACCCTTCAGATGTATTGCCAGTTACTGCTGTAGTGGTCTCCCCCCAATTCTCATCTTGGGGCAGTATCTGAACTTCTATTACTTCTTGACCATCCCGGCCAATCTCAGGGTTTATATTTACACTGGTTTGGAAAGGTGCCATACTACTATCTATACAGTCTTTTCTTTGTGACTTGGAACTTCTGTAATTAATAAATATTACGCCTTAATTATAGCCTCTATGATATAAATTAGATACAAGTAACTTTGCATATCAAATGATAAAAATGATGTTTGCAACCTATAATACTTTCAGAGAGCAATAAATATATATATGTATATATATCAGTAATTTAATTTAGAAACAGACAAACAGTCGTTTTGCCTACATTATTAAATCCCAAAAACGAGAAGAGGGTTGGGTGTTAAATGTCGGCGCACTTTTTTGATGATACTAATTATGTAGGAGTCTCTGGGGACCTTCATTGGAACACCTCCAAGTGATTTTTGCTGCGGAAACGCCTAAGTATTTTTACCCTAGATGATGTATTTTAATGTTGTTGTTTTTGTAGATACATTACTTAGGCTGAACATGCCGAAATATTCGTTTATTTTATTCAAATTCGTTCTTTAAGAAAATGCACTTAAAATGAGTATAAACCAGGAATGTCTAGTTAAATACTCATCCCACGTTTATTATTAGTTCATATTATTCAGAAGCAACAAGACTAATTTATATTTCACACACGATTACACCGTTAAATAAACAAACCTTGTGCTTCTATGTGTATGCTGCCTATGTCTTGAACTCCGCCTAGAGCGGCTGCTCAATTCTGATCTTACAGATTCAGTCTCCATTATACAGGCCAGTCAGTCGAGTCTCATCCATCAGCTAATTTCTTTATGACCTGCAATAATTTACCGTGTAATCGCATCACGAAATCGGAGCAATTAAAATAACTTCGCGGAAGGGTGATCGTTTTAGGTCTTCTCACAATGAAAATCATTTACATACACATTTTAATTGCGAAAACGGCGATAATCAGCACATAATTTATAGTGCAAAGTCTAATTTACCATTTCATTATTGATATTTATTGAATTTTCTATTGGAGAGCGTCGTTTACACCCGTCGTCCAGACGGAATCATATTGACATTATCCGTTTAACTGAAAATTGACGTGAAATATTAACGTCAAATTTTGATATTATCTGCTTACTCACTCTAACTTACTTTAAACCGCATGTCGTTCCTTTTTTGCCATGCAATTACATGGATTTTTAAAATCTTTCTAAATATATCGTATTATATTCGTTCGGAAATTGGTATATATGAATTTTTAATTTAGTGATTTGGTCATTTTATTATTTTAGATCTTGTTATAAAAACAAAACCTTCTTTACTGGTACTAATACATATTTCGTTTAAATAAAGTTTCAACATCAGTTACTACATACTCCAACATTTGACATTCTATAAAAATAAAAAGATTGCAATATCATTATTACAAAAATATTGTTTCATTTATTGGTATTAATTTTTATTATATTTTAATATAGTTCTGTTAATTTTGACTTCGTAATAATTTCAATGTTTTGATAAAATGTACATCGTAAATAGTGATAAGTAAACTAAATATACACTAAAATAAGCATGTTACAAGTACTGTTTCTTTCTTATTTATTTGGAACCACTCTTATCAACTAACAGGTTCTGAATTTTTAATACTACATAAATTTGGTTTTTATCAGTATATTTATTAGATACAAAATACTATATAATGTGTGAATCTTATACTACAGTATTTGACTGTTGGCAATACCGAATTGGCGGCAATTCGAAAAAAAATTAGCACAGGTTGATTACAGCGAAGATAATGATAAGATAAGAACGCGTACTCATAGATTATTTGTTCGGATTTAAGATTCTAGACATGAAGCTATTTTTGTGAAAATGGAAGATCCTGGGACCCGACCAGTGAGGCAAGAGAGGATTGAAGACCTCCATCTGGACAGAGTGGTTGCATCTCAACCTGAAATAGGACCGACTCCTCCAGATGGTGGCTATGGTTGGCTAATAGTCGTCTCAGCAGTAATATACAATGTGACTGTGCCAAGTATTTTAATGCTTTATGGATTGATTATTTTGAAGTCTTTACGAGAGGAGGATCATGAAGAAGAAGAAAGAATGCGCGTTTGGGACGTAGATGTAGCCTTAGTCCCTGTAATATTGACTGTAATCCGTTTATTGTTAGAGTCGTGGTGTTCGGCTATCGCGAAAATATTCAACATGCCACGATTTACAGCGCTGGCTGGACTCTGTATGACTGTCGCTGGTGTTCTACTATCGAGCTATGCAACAAGTGTCGACAGTAACGATCATATTGTAAACATATTTGCGGGGATTTCCATTGGTAAGATTATGTTTGACTTTTATTATTGACTGAATATTAGCGGTTCCGCTGATCAAAAGCAACTGAGCAGATGGTTTTTGACATTAAAACAATTTAGCTATCCTACCACCAATTAACTCATTACCTCCTTAAATCTTGTTTATGAAAGTGAAAATGTATACAAAAAACGGAATTAGCATGAAAAATCAACTTTAAGTAAAATATAAATTATTTAGAATAACAATGAATCAGTTCAAGGTGTGAAATATTACGGAAAGGCATTGAATGCGGTAATTTACGACATTGTGGCTGAAGGTCATGTAACACAATATAACAAATTTTATTTACTTTGCAAATATCAATATTTGCTACGTATTAGATATCTAATGATTTTATCTACATTGGACAAAATGTGTCATCGTTTGTTTGTAAAAAGCCTCTGCAACGGCTGAACCAATTTTGATAAAATTCTTAAAATAATATTTATTACAATTCAATTCTTGGTAAATTGTTATTTTTGATATATTTATTGTAATTTTTCCCAGGTATCGGTTGCGCCTTAACAGGACAACAAACGGATCTAATCATAACCCACTACTTCCGAGACAAACTTACAATTGCCCAACGTATTGTAAAAGTTGCACCATCTTTAGGAAATGTTCTTATGCCTTTGATGATCGGGTATCTTTGTACAATCTACTCCAGTGATGTAGTTGTCATGATCACTGGAGCAATTCTCATGCAGAACTGTGTTTTCCTCGCCTCATATACACGACCTATTTACATTGAAAGAGTGATTCGAAACACATACAACATGTTACGAGACGCCGTTGAAGACGATGACGAAGTTATCTTCTCAAATCAGAATGAACCCAGATCAGCATCCAATCCAGTATCCACACAAGATGAAGACGCAAATGACGTGGTCGTCTTTAAATCAAATAAAAACGCTAGAGAAATCATGGACCCTGACGTAGAAACGCGGGAAAGCGGTGGGCAGAGATTTTCATCAGATTTCGGCGTGATGTTTGACGGTTCCACTTCTAATCGCTTCTCATCCGACTTTGGCGCTGTTGACGTCAGCAATTACAGCAGAATCAGTGGATATCAGGAGTTGGATAGTATTGACAGGAATAATCCTCAGCCATTATACCGTGAAACAACTGTGAATGCTCCATCAAATAGTCTCGTTTTTGCCGCAGAAATATCTCCTGGGTCAGCTCGACGTACTGCGTCATTAAAGAAGAATTTCATAACCGTGATCAATATGGTTCAAGATCTAAACTTCTATTTGTACACTCTGTTACATTTGTGCACAACGTACAGTGTTCTTATTCTGAGTGTTTTCTTCCCACTTCTTATGTGGGAAGAAAATCCTACCATGAATATTTGGTCGGTGAGTTGATTTTTCATTTTCTTCAAGTCAAGTTAAGTCATAATAACTTTATTCATATAGGTAAACAAGTACACTTATAAACGTCAGAAAAGAAGTTACATTAATTCGACATTTACATTTACCTACTACCAGTTCGCAGAGCGGGCAAGAAGAACTCGCAAGAAACTTTCCACTCCTATTTAATCGCTAAGTTTTGAGTCATACAAATTGTTTGAACTGGAGCATATCAATCCCAAGGATTAGGATCATTTCAATATTCATCAAATTTTTAAAAAGCTTTATTGATTAATTTACGTTTAACTAAAGCTTTGAATTTATTTAGTGACAATTCTCTAATTTCGCTTGGGAGTTTGTTGTAAAAACGAATACAATTTCCATATAAGGAGTGGTGTATCTTCTGGAGCCTGGTTGGTCGTACGCTTAAATTAGTTGTTAGTATTATACTGGTGAAAGTCACCATTTGTTTTAAAATCGTCTATATTTTCTTGTACATACAATAAGGCTTCAAGAATATATTGACCAGATAGTGTCATAATATTTAGTTCCTTAAACTTAAAAAATCTAAAAACAGTCAAATGTACCATCAGATATCAATAGTCATTTCGTCTTTAGGTTTTTCAAGAAGTTTTTTTTGCAGATATGTTCACTGACTGCAATTGGTCACGCTGCGGCATTGTGCTTCGTCTTTTTATGTATATTTATGCCAAACAATTTAAACGATAAAGCAAAATTATGTACAATTTTTTGTGTTTGTGGTGCAATAGGATTTTATGGTGAGTGCTTATATATTTAAAAAAATGCATCTTTCTTAAAACTTTTATCTTTGTAAAGTACTTATTTTTGTTATTCATATAGTTTTAAAGGCCTTGAAAGTAATTACGCAAACAAAGTAAGCTGCAACATTTTTTTTTAAATCTGCAATCCATTTCTTAAAAGTTATTCCTCGCGATTTTTTTAAAATATTATTTACTACAGCTATATATAGTATACTTATTTGTGCGCAAGATAAATAAATGGTATTGATTTATTGATAGTCGAACTGTAGATTTGAAACGCCTAATTACTTTTTAAATACTAACTTAAACATAAAAAACTACTTTAAAAAAGACCACAAACTAAAGGAATTTGGAAACAGGATTTTGAAAATCATCTACATACTTATTGATCGAAACTTTTCACTTTTCAGGTGTTACGCTATCATCAAACAAAAACTACCTTGTCGTATGGTGCATGTTTTCGAGTATTGCCACTGCGACCAGCGGGATTCTACAACAATCTTTATACAATAGTTTCAATAAGTTTGACATAACAGCGACTGTAACCACAGCTAATACTCTAGTTGCGATCGTGATCATGATTTGGGCTGTCGCCTATAGTTATACGTATAGGACTTGTTTCTTCATTGCTAGCTTATTGCAAAGTGGCGCGGCTTGCGTGTTTTTAGTCGCTTCTTTTAGACGGAGGAGATAGACTTACACCTCTTGGGATTTATTATTTAACGTGGATTAAAGATAGCACCGTGATTTTTTACATATAAGAAACATCGTAAAGTTCTATATTTATTACACGTTTTATAACAAGGCCGTTTAATTTTAAGTAAGCTTGCTGGAAAATTTTACTTTGTCCGATATATCTCTATGGTCACTAAGGTCTATAGTCAATGACTTGACGGATAAAATGGAGATCATACACCACATACGAGAGTTTAGGCCTGTAAATATAGTTAACAGCGACATCTAGTTTTTAAAAACTGCGCAGTACATTGAGGGAATATAAATGTTTTGCATACCAAAGAGCGTAACCACCAATTGATTTGTCTATGAATCGGAGCTGAAGATTGTTGTGTTATATATTTTTTGTCTTTAATAACATCTAAATCTTTAATGATTATCGTATTACTAGATTAGAAAGTAACAGATCATTATAGCTATTCTTTTAGTAGCTTTTGCTTGTCTATTGCTATTTTATATTAGACATAAATTGTATTACATATGCATAAAATACTATTTGTTAAGAGATCATAATATATTTTTTATAAACAATTACCATCAATTATAATATAACATTAAATACTTACTGCTAAGGATGACTTACAAAACAAAATTTAGGTAATACATAATATGCGGTGTGGTACGTAATGATTGTTTCAATGAGTTATAATACAGCAAGCAGGAAATAAATTATATAATTCATTGTATAGTTATAAAATAATACAAAGCAACGCGATTTCGGAAATATTAAGGCGGCTGAATAATGAAAATAATTTTTTTATCGAAATAAATATTTTTCTATACAATTACGTATTTTTAATACGTTTTTCTAGATTGTTATACCTAACATCAGAAGTGATATCTGGTTGTCTAGCAGTGAATAGTCTTTTTTTTTCAAACCAACTAATAACCTCAAAAATAACGATTTAATGCCGTGTTCTTATCTCACACATATAAATGAGAATAATTTAAAATATTTCAGACGTTTAAGACTTGATATGTACAATCGCGAACGCAGCCCTCGTATACGTTAACGTTACCATAATTTGATTTATTCCATTCCTGTCACCGCTAGACGTTTTGCACCGAGCCATAACAAATTCGTCTTAAATAATTATCTACTAATAATACCACAATAAACAAAACATTACTATAATCTCACTACTCAAAAACTATCATTTTTTTTTTTAGATTGTACGAGGAATGTCAAACTTTTATTTAATACATATCAGTCATTAGAGGTGCTAAAATTATAATAAACAATTTATATATTATGGAAATAAGACGTGATGTGAAAATTTACCAGTACCATTTATATGTTAACCTTAAAAAAATAATCAGCAAATTTTCGTTAGAACAAACGATAACGTTTTCATACTAAATAAATTATTATCTGTATTTCATTAACCCAATAAATCCATCATTTCATTATTACCAAATTTTTTGTCACTACTATTTTTATTTTCATTAGAATTCGGTAAAAGAGATTCAAAAGCGGACCAATCTTGTTTAATATTTGTTTGATTAGTCCATTTATTATTAAAATTACCATTTGGAGGTGGTGGAGAGGATGTTAGAGCTAAGTGATTTTGAAAACCGTAAGTCATACTACTCATTGGGGAATTTAAATTTCCCATTGCACCCATTGTATTACTAACTGGACTATTCATTGTATTACCAATTGGGCTACTCATTGTATTACCAATGGGGCTATTCAGTGTATTACCGACTGGACTAGTAATTGTGTCCCCAACCGGACTCCCAACGGGTTTTCCAATTGGATTGCCCACTTTTCCTATTGGAGATGCACTCATAAAATTATTAGTGCTCATTTGATAGGTCATTGAATTATTATTGTGAGTTAAATTAGGATTTAAACTAGATTGTGGTTTCGACAATTGTGTAAGATTAGATTGAAGTAACGAACTGGTTAAATCTACAGCTTTAGGAAGTTGTGGGGGAGGCACAACTTTGGCCGTGGGCATCGTTGGTGCTTGCCGTGACATCTTTCGTTGAGTTTCTTGTTGCTGTGCTAACCTAAAAATATATGAAAATACTTATAATGACAAAAAATGCCTCCTAAAAATGAGATTTATATATGACAAACAGTTCGTAGTTCTTATTATAGGTACTTTGGTACAGATACCGGCAACCATCTTGAACAAATGTCCTTGCCTGCGCAGAAGCGATTTTTACGTATCACTGGGAGGGGCGCGGCGGCGGGAGAGATTCGTGTCGATCGCGTGATTGGTAAATCAGTTGACGTTTGTGTCCTGCGATGCGCAAACTTTCCTCCACTCCCTTGTTTAATGCTCAAGAAGTTTACCGGTATCTGTACTTAGGTTTGTTATTATGGTGACGATGTTCTTTCCGTGTATGTTTTGTACAAAACATGTTAACAAACATTATACTTTCTTTTGTTTCATTTGTATATAATAAGTTTGTTGGCTTATTCATTGTACACTTATATAGTCCGTAATGTTTCAATGTGTAATTTTTACTTTGTAATGTATATTATTTTTAAAAATTCCATAATATTTTGGCTTTATAATTTTTTAATCTCATTAATATTATTATTGGTATTATTATTTAGTTAGTGCTTAGTTATTGTCTTCTTGTTTAATCAATTTTATTACTAAAATACCATTGATCGCTTGATGTTTATGACAAAAATCTTTCCATACCTTTGCTTATCTTCCATACTAAGAGACATTGCATCTTTAAGAGGTGGCAATGCTTCCTTCTCCTGTGGCTTAGAACTAAATGCGAATGGATCAATTCCAAGACCAGAAAACATCTTGTCAATGTCTGTTTGCGGTGTTGGTACTAAGTTGTCTGATGTTGGTGTCAGCGCATGCTCCATTACTCTACAAAAATATTTCCCAATCAATAAAAGATTTTTTTATAAATAGTTCTTTCATATCCTGCTCAACTTCGCGGGAAAGTAAATAAAGAAGGGATGGACTTTTGGGAGACCCACACTAGTGGTTAGCTGATAACATGTATCAAAAATATGATCAGAACATCAAATCCTCTTAGGCCAATTATGTTCCAATTATGACCAGTCACACAAAAACATAAATTAATTAATGACATACATAACTTTGCATAATATTAGGTTGAAATATTTTCATTTCACTTTAAACTAACATGGACTATAGACATGAACAAAACTCATACTACCAAAAATTTTAAATTTCTGATGGGCATTTCTAAATCTACTTAAAATAATGACAAAACAACTTACTTAGATTCCTTTTGTATGGAATTAAGTTGTTCCAGCTTAGTTCTATGCTCAGCCTCCACTTTCGATAACATTTGCTTTACCAAGGCCATGAGTGCATTAAATTGATTTAATGTTAAACCATTTTCAACACAAAGTGGTATTAAGAAAGGCAACACCTTTGTGGCCATCACTTCCTTAGTGATACCTAATTTTTTATGACTTAGAGTTAATTTGTATATACCTGAAATATAAGAAAAATTATTAATTCATCAAGCCGTTAATAAAGTTTAGTAAATTTTAAAATTTTGGAATACTCCATTAAACAACCTAATAATTATTTATTATTATAAAAAATATATTATTTATTAGATTTAATGATGACAACTTACCAAGAATCCCCATTAGTACAGCTGGTTCCCGTGAAGGTATTTGAGGCAAGAATGGTATAATTTCATCCAGGACCAGCCATTTATCTAAATGTTCCAATAATTTTCCCAGACATAACAAACAGTTTACTCTAACAGATAAATAATTTGTTTGTAGACATAACTTTTTTATTCTTGGCAATAAAGCATTTTTCATAGCTGGATAATCTATTAAAGATGCAAATGTTGGTAATACCGACAAACATAATTCTTGTATTTGTTGTGCATCAGATTCTAATGCTCGATACAACATTGGAAGGATATCTGTTTTTACTTCCTCACCTGGAGTAAGTTTTAGCAATAGCTCCATTTTTTGCATAAAAATAAGTAATATCTGTATTGGTTCTTGTATTAACATAACAGGTTTCAAAACAGGTAGTATGTATTTGATAAATTCCTCTTTTGCTGAATTTTCTGCGATCAACAAAACATTAGGTAGAATAAAAGGTACCATTGGTGGATTGACAAATTCTTTTGCTAGACATGGTAATATTCTATAAATACATATTCTGTGGGGCATTTTTTGAATAATCTGCGGTAAACCTTTGTAGAATTGAGACTTTTGAAGGTTATCCCATTGAAACAGAGAGTCTAAATAGTTGAGAGTTTTCACACCAACATCTTCAAAATAAGATATCTGAAATTTGAAACAAATATTTACTAAATGCTAAATTTTCACAACAACATTTCAATGCATTAAATTATTAAATATACTAATAATTTTTTTCCTAAATTATTAATTTTCAAATATATTAGTAGATTAGATGAAATTATATTAAACTAAAATTATAATATTATATAATATATAAAATTATTATAATGTTTTTTACAATATTAATAAAATATTTATTTAAACTGTTGCATACCTTTAACAATTGATGAGGATCGGGCCTCAACTCTGGTGTAACATTTAACATAAGTTTTACATATTCTCTTAACCCTTCTGCTACACATAGAAGCTTTGATGTAGGCAAGTTTCTCAATTCATTTACAAACCTTCTAAATTTAGAATAATCCCCACTTATATTTCCAAGCGGTTGATGCCCAGTGCTATGAATAGTATAGACAAGCATACCCAAAGAAAAAATATCACTGGCTGGAGAATGAGTTGCGGAAAGAATATATTCAGGAGCTAGATAGTCTAAAGATGATTGTGTCAATGCTGGCATAGCCTGGCAGTACTCACTAAAAGGCCAAAATGGTGCTTGCCCTGTAGGACTCTGGTTTGCAATACAAAAATCAAATCCAAATATTTTCCAAGCTCCTTGTTGATTAACTACAATAGATTCAGGACTGATATTGTGATGTAACAACTTTACATCATTATGTAAAAATGCTAAACCTTCAGCTATTTGCATAAGACCATACTTAATCTCAACTTCATACAGTTTATAGTTAACAAGGTGACTAGGTGTCGGCTGTGGCATGTTATCTGTGTTACCAAGAATGTTTGCTAAGCTAGCAAAAACCGGCTCTGTAGCAAATGCTAAGCTTTCTCTGCTTTCTTCTAAACTATGCTGAACTGTAAGTATTTGAGGATGGCGGAGTTTAGTTAGCTGTAGAATACCCCGTTTTAATATGTCTAACATGATATCCCTGTCTGCTTTTGACCATCTGTCTAATTGTTTCTTTTCAAATACAAAAATCGAAGCCTCCTGCTTAGTTGATTTTTTGTAGCCTGTATAAACCTTCCACAACAGACCTAGAAATAAAAAAAGGAATTCAATTTTCATATATCAACAATGTCTATTGTATATATATATATATGTGTGTATATCCATATCAAATCATTATATTCTTTACAATGTACCTGGTCCAGCACTTGCGATGTATTGAGTAGCTTCAAATTCTCTAGTCACTGGATTTCCAGGGAGTACACCAGACAATTGAGAAACCGTACTCGTAACAGATGAATAGAACTTATTAAACACCTCCATTGTTGCTAATAACTTTTCACGTTTTCTGGGAATTTAAAGACATTCCAATAAAAATAGTGCAACGAGTTCTTACAAGATAAAACCAATACGAAGCACGATCACAAATAACAAGACAAAAGTAAAATTAAATCAAAAAAAATAGACTGGCTACATTTTTTTTTTTTTTTTTTTTTGGGATTTTATGACCTGGCATGTACAACCTTTAGGTCAACTCTTAATTTTCATAGACGTAATGTTACGCCTATGAGCACATTCCATTAAATTGTAGACTGGCTACAGACCAGTGATCACAGGATAGGAAGTCTGTTGATGCCTCAAAACTTCAGATTACCTCTGTCATCTGTGCGACCATATTACTGAACAACGCCCATTAGCCCATGTCTTGTTACTTATCAAAGCAATATGTTTAAAATGTCTGGAAGACTGGAAGTTAGAATTCAGTTTATTATGACTGCTCTGTATCAACCAGATGAAATAATTAGTAACTTGTAAATTTTTATAGGCACTTAGTAAATTATATTTAAGAAGCAGTAGGCCGTAATCTGAAATGGGAAATTTTGTAAATAAATGTTTTTGCTATCATGAGTTTTATTTATTTCTACCGTATTATTACTATTAGCTCATAACTTATGTTATTATTATTAATTACTTAAGATGTCATGTGGACAGTGGAACATGGTGTAATGGTTGCAGCTCCTTACAAACGTTGTGTAAAAAAAAAACCAATGCGATTAAAAAGAGTGGCGGAGAGTTTATTGCCAGTTCATCTCTTCCGTTCTACGCCCTTGATTTGAGAACTGGCACTAAATGTAAAATTATAAGCATTAATATCTATTTCTTTACTGACGAGTCATAAGTGTACAATGTGTTACCTATATCATTAAATGATTTTTTAATTTGAATTTAACATCCCAACGACGGCAAAAGGTCTACCTCCTTTTCTTCCACGAATTCCTACTAAGAAAAGAGGGAACCCAATATTGGGAAATTTTGTGCCAATGCAGCAAAAAAATATATTATTATTGCTGTTTCTTGTGCGGCCATGCTATTGATCCTTCTATAGGTACTTAAACGGAGTTTTAAACATCATAGTACAATCTGAAACCACGAAACAAGAGTCAAAGTATGGAGACTATATTATTTAACCGCCATGTAGGTATTCGGTAAATATGTCCAGTATAACTAGGCGTTCTAGTAGAAGGTAGGTTTTGCAAGCTTAAGATAAGTAATAACTACGTACGATGATACACTACTGTCGTACATCGTACAAATTAAAGTATACGTCGAATATTTATTTAAAAACACAGAAATTTACAAGATTTAAACTATAAAGCATTTCCAACACATTATTGTCACGTTTCATATAATATTTTAATGCATTATAGTTATAATCATGTTGGGTACGATAATTTTGATCTGAATTAAGATAAATTTACGTGCACGTTTACTGCCCAAAAGCATAACATTTGTAAATAATCTAATATACCTGCAACAACACAAACCAGTGATAGGATAGGATGAAGGAGGATTATAGTTTTTTTTATTAATATTGTATTTTAGGCACATTACTTGGCGTAAAAACATAAACTTTGTGCGTTTTCCAATTACAGAGCATTTTGCGACTCAGTGCCGCACAATGCCGCATAATGCTGAAGCCTAATTGGAACGTGAATTAGTTTTCAAATGCATCAGCAGAGTGCGCTAAGTCAGTGTTGTAAAAAAAATGTTGAATTTGTATGAATTGAGTTAGCAACCTCATTAATGTATAAATAATGTGGTAAACAATAATAATTGGTTGAAAACTTTTTACTTTTTACGATTTTAATCATCAAATTATTTCATTAACATTTTTTTTATTGAAATAATAGAAAACCTTTAAAGAATATAAGGTTTTAACAAGCTAAATTAAAAGTAAAATATTTAGTTTCATGTAAGAAGTTTACATCATTTACGTTTTGAGTAATATTTTTTAATGATTTCTAAAAAAATTATATACTTTTTCAAAACCATTGCAATTTTTTCTAAAGTACCTATAATCCTGTAAAATAAATTTGTTTACAGATCCGAATTTTAAAATAAAATTGTATTCATATTTTAAATGTGGAATATAAAAAAAGTAACTATTTATACCTTCATCCATACTAATATTTATTTTTTTTAGCAGTTTGAAATAACTTTAATTATTTTCAAAATCTACGACGAAACGAAAGCCTTACAAATTTTTCAACAATAAATAATATTTACTAACGAAAATTTCGATAAATGCCAACTTAAAGAAAAATACTGGTCAATTTTCTGTCACTGTGTTGGTATTGTTTGCGAGAGCATTCGTTTTGAGAGTGCTCAATTGTGCGAAGCGTTGCTGTAGTTGGAACACTCGACGTTGAGCATTATGCCGCAAAATGCGCTCTAGTGCTGTAATTGGAAAACGCACATTAATAATTAGTAACACATTGTATATTTCTACCGGAATCTCATGGAAAATATAATTTGTATTTGAGAAATTGGATTAAATGATCTTGATACTGTTTAATTTTCATTTGTCTTTAGTGCCCTGCCTCACCGGGACGCCATGGCGACGTGGCCAGCGACGTCTGGGAGTCTTAAAACTTCATGAATGATGAATAAAAAATAATAAATGTTTTATATGTATCGATTTTTTCCTAAATTTTATAACTTTAAAGTTTTAGAATAATAACCAACCACTTTCACGCGCCAGAAACAGTTATTAAAAAAAATATTAATATACTAACCTCACCTAACCGAACAATAGATAATAATTGATTTTTGGACAGCTCCGGGGCTACGGGAAATGCAGCCTCTCCAACCTTGCGTACCAAAGCACAGGCATTATGCAAGCCGTAGTGGAAAAGGCTGGTCGCCGAAGGCGACCAAAAAGCCTAAGCTGCGGAGGCTTGTTACGGTGGGTGGGGGCTGCTCTTCCTTCGCCCTTCCGAGCTTTTTACATACACTCTAGGGGTAGCCCGGGTAGGGCAGACAATTCCATGTGGATAGTGGGATGCTCCGATTCGGTTTGAGTACTTTTTGGATATTAAATAAGTAAGTAAACACTTTATTCTAGTAAGAATTAGATAATACAGAAAGTTGCAAACAATGAAATACAAATACTAATTAGGAAATACAAACGAGTAGGTATCGATACTTTCAAAATTTTCGGAACCCTACACTAATTGAAACGAGAAGTGACGTTTGACATCAATTATTTGTCAAATTTATTTTTTAATTGCGTGTTACTTGCCAGTTTGTATGAAAATTAAAAATAAATGTATCTCATATCTCAACCGTAAGTTTCCGCAACCTAAAACTTTGCAAAACGCTTTCTTGTGTGTACTATCTACAAAAACAAATATGAGCTTTTAAATGGATGGTGCATATTAGAAAATTTATCCTGATTGGAATTTAACATGTTCAAAACCCCTTTAAGGAAGTCACGATTTAGTACTGAAGAAAAATATAAAATTAGCTCAAAGTATCATAACCACTCAGTCCAACTTACCGGTCAACTGTACCACGCAATTTAAAATCAAACATTGAGTGTGATTTATACCTTCTTTTTCCTTGATTTTACGATAATCATTGAAAATAATATTTATCGCTTGATATCGAAGTGGCTTTTTCGACATTTGATTTGACGGTTGACACTTGCCATATGAAAATCTCACTTTTATATGTTTTTTGGTTTAAATTTTAAAAGACTCTGTTAATTGAACCACAATAAGCGCTTTCAAGACCACCAACTTTAACAATCGACCTTTGTAAAAATTTGTTATTTTTTTAACCACACGCCAACTTATACTTAGCCGAGTGTATACGTTAGGTTCCACAGATATCTCATATCCTAGTATAATCGAATCATACTTGGTCTGTCATCTGTGGACACAATCTCGAGAAATCTTATATCAAATAAAAATAAGTTATGTACGAAATTAAGTTTCAAGTTATTAATATATAACATGTTTGTATGTAACACAAAAGTATGATTCTACACCAAACTATAACAGTTCTTTTTTCATTTCTTACTCTAACTATAGCTGAAAGTGAGCCATACCTGAAGGAACCATATCGCCCACTAAGTCCACTTGTTAAGTGTAATTTTTTGCCTATAGAATTTCTAGATTGTGATGAGCCAGTAGATCATAAAGGTAACGAAACTGCAAAGAAGGCAGTAAAGCATGGCTGTGTGAAATTCGGAGGTGTTAGATATGAAGATGTGGAGAAAACAAAGGTGCAATGTAAAGCACTAGATGGAATTGAGTGCTATGGAAGCAGGAGTTTTCTTAGGGATGGATTTCCTTGTGTACGATATTCAGGACATTACTTTACAACAACCTTAATTTACAGTATATTATTAGGATTTCTTGGAATGGACAGATTTTGTTTGGGTCAAACAGGTACAGCTGTGGGCAAACTTTTAACATTGGGTGGACTTGGAATTTGGTGGATTGTAGATGTTGTATTATTAATAACTAATAATCTGCATCCAGAAGACGGTAGTAACTGGAACCCATATGTTTAAAAATATATTAACCTAACATCCATCATGTTAGCTATCTTTTATTGTCGACACTTAGAATTAAGCACACTATATCACTTGTTAATAAGATTTTCTTAATGACTTCAATAAATCATTTTACAGTATACATATTTTTTTCCTACATTCCTTTGGTGACTAAGGCACACCTCACATGATTATGATAAAAATGTAGATATATAGCTGTATTAATAGATAAAAAATTATTGTTATACAGGGTGGCCAAAAAGTCGTGGATCAAATGCAAATAGATGAGGTCATCAGCGGCAAGAAATTGTTCTACGGGAGGTCTCTAAGGTCAACCCCTGCAGAGTTATGATTTATTTTGCGTTTTATAAGAAAATTGACTTTTTTTTACTAATTCTTATTAAAATTCGATAAAATCTACATCCTGTATATTTTTCATAATATCGACTAGATTGGTGCTGATGAGTTCTTGCTTAACACATACTATTTATAGTTGTATATTGAGTGTATTCAAGATAATATTAAGTGATACGATATAACATTTTTTCAAATCATAAATTTTTCTTTACTTTGGACCCCACTGTGAAAAAAAATTACTCCACCGAAAAGTGACCCTGTATTACAAGTTTTGGCGCATTTCATAGGGATTCTGAAAAGGTATTACACATGGCCATGAGTCGCTCTAATATCTTTCTAGGACGAAAAAACAACAACGATTCGGACTTATGATAGATTATTTACCTACATGGGACCAGTACTGTGTGAATCGGACTAGATTCAAAAAAATTAGACAGATGGCTGGAGGGTTACGTAGGAATTTGATTAGACGGTGCAGATTAAGTATTATGGTCAGAGTCAGGAATTTTGAGCATATTTTATTGTAAAATATTTTGTTTCATACACCAACAACCATTGAGAAATAATTGTTTTAATACAATTATTATTTCACAATCTTTGTTTGTAATTCTTCCTAGAAAGATATTAGAGCGACTCATGGCCACGTGTAATACCTTTTCAGAATCCCTATTAAATGCGCCAAAACTTGTAGTACAGGGACACTTTTCGGTGGAGTAATTTTTTTTCACAGTGGGGTCCAAAGTAAAGAAAAATTTATGATTTGAAAAAATGTTATATCGTATCACTTAATATTATCTTGAATACACTCAATATACAACTATAAATAGTATGTGTTAAGCAAGAACTCATCAGCACCAATCTAGTCGATATTATGAAAAATATACAGGATGTAGATTTTATCGAATTTTAATAAGAATTAGTAAAAAAAAGTCAATTTTCTTATAAAACGCAAAATAAATCATAACTCTGCAGGGGTTGACCTTAGAGACCTCCCGTAGAACAATTTTTTGCCGCTGATGACCTCATCTATCCCCTATTTGCGTTTGATCCACGACTTTTTGGCCACCCTGTATAGTCTTTTCTCTATTATAACAATATAATATCATAATAGATTTTCAAGATTTATGAGATTGTCAGTAAATATCAACAGATACAGTATTATCAAGTATATCAAGTATTGAAAACATTTGTAACTGTCCAAGTTTTCTATTATGATAATTAAAACAACCACTGTAAATTTTACTTTTATTATACTTAAGCCACTAAAGCTGATGCTGTGCTTGATTCGTACTTCCAGTTGGGGGGAAGGACACTCTTGGTCTTATAGTAACGAGCAAGCCTGTGGATTCTAGATTCAACCAGAATAAGCCTGAATTTACTGTCCTTGTCTTTCCTGTTACGTTCCAAGTGCTTCCTCATGGCAACAGCTTTTTTGATTAAGTAGTAAAGGTCTTCTGGTAGATCTGGGGCAAGTCCCATAGCCTTCATAATACGAAGAATCTTTTTACCAGTGACAAACCTGACTTGAGCCACTCCATGGGAATCACGAAGCATAACACCTGAAATTTTAAAAATTAAATTTAAAAAATATATACAATATTACAGAATCAAATTAACTTACTATTGGAAATAAATAGTATCATATTATAAAACAGCATAGATAACTAAAATTATATCTGGATTTTTATTCCAATATTAAAGATCAATCACAATACACATCCTAATTTAACCTCATTTACAATTAGTATACAATATGTTCCTTAAAACATACAATCTTAATAGGTATTTTAAATTTCACATAAAACAAGGAATAACAGCACTCACCAATTTGGGAAGGAGTCAGACCCTTCTTGCCAAACTTGAAAATGTGTTCCTTAACATCTTCAGCGGTAGATTTTAACCAAGTTGGAACGCTGCGACGATAAGGCAACGCTGACTGCGAGATACCCTTGCTGAAATCCAAAATAACTATTAATCAAGACCGCCATGTGTTGATTGCATAGGTTATGTTTTTGTAAAGCTTTTAATACCAATCATACAATAAAAAATTTAATCGGAATTTAAGCCAAACAATCCACTAAGTAAAATAAATGTAAAATTACCCAGGTGCGTGCATACGACCCATGATTGCGGCTTTTTAAAAAATTGCCGTTCTGACAACTACAACAAGGGAAATCAAAAAGATGGTTTCGTTGACGACTTGAAGACCGGAAACCATTAAAATCTTCTATAGTCTTTGGGCAGACATCGGCACAGACTCATGAAAAACACATTAAAGTTATTATAGGTCTACACTCTACCGGAATCTCATAGCAACATAAATAAAAAATAACATTTTCATATGGCAATGTCAAGTGTCATCCGTTAAATCAAAGTGAGATTTTGAGATTATCTTCTTGTCGAAAATGTCGAAAAAGCCACTTTCAATTCAAGCGAGAAATATTTTTTTCAATATTTATCGTAAAATAAAGTGGTCTAAGATCCCGATATACAACGACCTTCACCGAGATGCTTATTTAATGAAACGTATTTTATATTTAATTTAATATGTCAATAAATATAATCCATATGGGTCCCCTAGCTAATTTCAGTCCAGAGTATGTTTAATTAATATTTAAAAAAATATATTTTTTTTAGGTTCCGAATTTTTTTAAATTATCGATACCTACTCGTTTGTATTTCCTCATTAGTACGTCTTCTATTTCATTGTATGCAACTTTCTGTGTTGTTTAATTCTTACTAGAATAAAGTATTTACTTTAACCGAATCAGAGCACCTCACTATCCACGTGGTCTTGTCTGTCCTACCCCTAGAGTGTATATAAAAAATCGGAGGCGCGGAGGAAGAGCAGCTCCCACCCGCTGTAACAAAGTACAGTTGAATAAAATGCCTGTGCTTTGGTACGCAAGGGTGGAGCCCGCATTTCCCGTAGCACCGGAGCTGTCCAAAAAATCTATTATTATTATTGTTCGGTTAGGTTAGTATGTAATAAAAAACAAAAGAAAAACTACTCAGTTACTGGAAAAATAAAATAAACTTATTCATACGGTTGACGGATGAAAAGATTCAGCCTTCGCAGTGACTACTTTTTGGGGAAAGGGATACTCTTTTTTAATAAAATCCCAGAGGCTCTTTTATCACTGCCTTTCAATAAATTTAAGAAATGTATTAAAGAAAAGCTGTGTAAAAAGGCTTACTATAAAGTCAACGATTATCTAGTTGATAAAAGGGCCTGGGACTAGTGCTAGACAGGCTACTTCTAATCAATTTGCGATATTTGTTTTAAATAAGTGTTGTTTGATGATTTGCTGTGTTAAAAGAGTACCGAGAGTTTTTTACGCCGGCTTTTTCTCTCGGCCTACACCCTCTGTCTTCTTTGCCGATGAGTAGGGATGCCTTCAAATTTAATGACGTGGAATAAGTGATACATGTATCTTATGTTCCATAATAAACATATTATATATTTTTTTTTTTACTCATACGGATATACGTAAATCAAACTCAATTAAAGCTCGTGGTAGGGTTGACGGGTGAGTTGAACTGAGTGGTTTTGATACTTTTTATTAAAAGTATCAAAACATATATACCTCGGTAGGTACTTTTGTGACTTTTTTGTGAATTGTGACTTCTTTAATTAGGGTTTTCCAGTACTACTATACGGCGAATCGTAGCACGAGGACATAACGAATGATGGTGTGTTTTCCACGCCTGGTAAATAGAAGAGTAGAGGGAAGAAGGAAATCAACTTGGATAGTTTCGATTTATCTTTGACAAGATATTGATTTCAACGTAGGAAGAGAATCTCTGAGGTTAGAAAAATAATTCCTCTCACTCTCACTCGTTACAGGAGACCTGTGCTCTGCAGTGAGATGTATATGGACTGAAGATAATGATGGCTAAGCTATCGCTTATGTAACATGGTTTAATGTTATCATGTTAAATGTCAATTAAAAAGGACCATTCTTATGGAGAGAGATGACATAAAACTAGTTTTGAAGCGTATAAAAGAAAACCACGAAGCTGAAGAGCATAATAAATTGTATGTGATTTATATAGACGAGGCTTACATTCATGGTTCATGTTCTGTTTTATTAACAGAACATAAACAGCACTTATTGTGCTGGCAAAGCGAAGTGAAGTGGTTTATTATAAATGCTGGTGGAGAAGATGGCATTGTACCAAACTGTTGTCTGGTGTACAGGTCAACAAGTGTATCTGCTGACTACCACCACGATATTAATAAAGACAATTTAACTAAATTGGTGACAGAGTAGCTAATACCAAATCTAAGGAGAGCTTCATTAATTGTTATGGATACCTACCTAATCGTGTCGCTGATATAAAATAATGGCTCCGTCTACATTATGATGATGTTTGGCATAAATGTCAACGACTTGAAGTAGTGAAATAAAACATGTCTGCGCCTTTATATGAGATAGATGAAGTATTAAAATCACACGGTCATGGAATTTTAAGACTCATATTACATCTTACTTACACATCTGACTTATCATTGTACATTGAATCCGATAGAAATGATTTGGCGTATTATGAAGCAAAAAATTACTGATTAAATGTAAATAGACCTGCAAGTGTAATAAAATTATTAACAGAAGAAGCTTTCTCACAAATTAGTGCATCGCATTGGCGAAAATTTCGTGAACATTTAAGGAAAATTGAAAAGGATTTCATTAAGAAAGATATAATAATTGAAATGCTGGAAGAGCGATTTATAATAAACACCTCTTTATCTTCATCATCTGATAAGGAACAAGAAATGAAAGTGGAGTTTTTGGAATCGTTTTCTAGTTCTGAATGAGGTTTTAAGTTATTTGTATGATTTAAATCATATATAATACATTAGTACATAAAATAATTTACGATTGATTTATTTTTCATGGCATATTTTCATGTTCATTAATACTTAAGACATAAATAAAAATTAAACAGTATCAAGACCATTTCATCCCATTTAGGTATATTGCTCACAATAAATTTTTATTTCCCTATTTGCCTTGAGATTTCGGTTGAAGTACATATATTAATATTTATTTCATCATTATTAAAAAGCCTATGAAACTAACTGTGCCCTACAGTTTCAACCTCGTTTTTTTAAATTTTATAAAAACTGAATTAATCATGTGTTGCTCAAATAATGAAGCACGTTATTAATCAAGATAGCTTATCATGATTGTAGTAAGATTAAAACCAGATAGAAAGTTGTTTTTTGTTTATTTAACAATTACATCAAAAAATAAAATCCAAAAACGGAATACAGAATCATACGTCATAAGATTATCTACTTATACAAAAAAATAATAAAAATAAAATATGTATATATCTTTATAATAAATTTAGTGTAAGATGCATTGATCATTATAATATATTTAATATAAAAGAGGAATAACATATCCATTGTCTAATAAAGGATACCAGAGTTGTTTATATTATTTTCTAAGCAGTTTTAGTTATATAAATATATCTATTTGCTGGTAATTTGTGCTATAATCTGAGGGTATACGATACATGACTGAGTAACGTAAATAGTTTGTATTAGACCGAGGAGTTTTAAATAGTTGGGTTTGCCTTGTATTGTATGAATGAGTGTGAAATAGTAAAAGCGACAATAAGTCAGAACAGTCAATTAAACCGTTACAAATAGTGTGTAAAAACATCCAGGTCATATTGTTTACGACTACATTCCAGGGGTTCAATACCAAAGTCCTTGCAGGAATCTATATAGCAGCATACTTTATCAATAATCATGTCTTTGTTTTAGTTGATTAATATATAGATTCCTATCTACCACTAAACATTGTCGTTATAAAGACTTCTATATCTATAATATATCAATAAAGAAAGTGAGTAAAAAAATAAAAGTAAGTAAGTATTCCTATATATTAATCAACTAAAACAAAGACATGATTAATAAGTGGTTATTTGATTTTCAAATTTGATTACCACTATTTTCTTAATTGATATAGACGAAGAAGTCTTTATAACGATAATGTTAAATGTTAGTTTTGAGAAAATGTTTTGATGTTGTGTCTGTGTTTGAGAATGTAAACATTTGCAAATCAGCAAGAGAAATCTATAGGGATTTCATTGAATATGCGCAACTGCGTTGTGAATCAGGTCTTTACAATTTGTATAAATACTATTTACAACTATTTGTAATTCATTTTACACAGAAATCACTGTTTAAATTTATCAGAAATTGCAGAATGACAACATCTTGAAGTCTGTTTACTAATTTACAAGCATAGTACGTCACAGGGACTGATGCGTCGCCATATGGTTGAAGTGTTTGGCGGGTTCTTAAAATTATGAGATTTTATATATAATGCAATAAGTAAGCAACAGAATTGAGAATAACAATTTGTATAGGTAATAAATAATTGAAAATTTGTTTTTCTTGGATCCTATAGTTGCCAACCGAACATGTAATGATCGCATTGGGTAGTCTATCCATGGTCTATGCCTAACAATTATTTTACTTTTGTCTGTGACCTGACCTGCTCCGCACTTCATGGAAAAATTATAACTACAGAATATAGATTTTATGTATTAGATGTCGTTTTGTGTTAAAAATAATGGCTGAACAATACGGAATATCTCAAACGGAATATGAACTTATTAAAAAACAAGCTGCTAGGCGAGCTGAAATGCGTCGTGAATTCCTGAAACAGCGGACAAACCCATTTAAACATGCCGCTGAAGCTGGCTTTGTTGTAAGTTTTATTACGTAATTAGTATTTAATTTATATATATTATGTATTTGAATTAGTGATAATTGGTACCTATTTTATGTTTTTGTTTTAGTTCGACGATGCCCATCAGAGATTTATCTCTATGAAAGTAACGCAATTTGAATATTTCAAACCCAATCGAAGAACTGCTATATTTGGAATTGGAGCTGTTGTTATACCTATGTTTTTGTATGGATTTCTTATTCATAAAGAACGATCAATTCGAGAAGCAAAATGCCGATCTGGAGAACTTCGGTACAGAGATAGACTATTTAAGCTGTCTTAAGTTGCTGCTGTGATTCAGAAAAATAACTAATTAAAGTAGTTCAAATTAATGTATGTGAATAAAATCTATAGAAGAAAATAACATATTCTCTATTTCTTTTAATTCAAGTACTGTACTAAGTTTTGAAAAATAACATAATTTGTTCTTTGTTTAAATTTGAATGACATGAAAATGAGTGCATTTTTTTATTGTCAAATGGTTTCAATTATTATTAATGAAAGCAAGTTGCTTAATATTTCAAAGATATAATGTGCGACTATGCTTTTTCTGAAATTGAATGTAAAATAATTAAAGCCCAGATTGAAAGAAGAGCTAAATATAGACAAGAATTTTTGAGATTGAGAACTGATCCATGTAAACATTCTCTTGAGTCAGGATTTGTTGTAAGTATTTAGCATGTTCCTCTTATTTAGTTCGAAAGAACAAAAGGAACTATTAAACATATTGACATCAAATGTTGGATGTTCTATGTTTGTGTTGGTGTAAGAAATTAATATATTATTTAAATACTTTTTCTTGTGTATAGTGTTTAAATAAGATATTAATTCTATGTTCCCAGATAATATTCTTTGGATTGAGCTGAGAGGCTTATGAATCACAATTAATTACAGTCTGTGCCACTATCATTTTGTCATAAAACTTGTCCGAGTGTAAATAATTTCTATATTTTTTTTAGTTTGATGAAGCTCATCAGAGATTTATATCATTGAAAGTAACACAATATGAATTCTTTAAACCCAACATCCATACGGCTTTGTTTGGAATTGGAGCTGTCATTGTACCTATGTTTTTATATGGCTATCTTATACATAAAGAGCGATCAACTCGAGAAGCAAAGTGCAGATCTGGGGAGCTTCGTTACAAAGACAGACTATTTAAGCTGTCGTAAGTTGTGGTTATATAATGAATAAAAATAATGCAGTACAGTAGAAAAAAAAATGTAAATAAATAATTCTACACAAAATAATATTATTCTACTTTTCTTTCAACTCACATAAAGCCTTTTTGTTCTCTATTTAAATTTGAATTTTGCTATTGTGAAATGATCGTAATCCTTATTAATGAAATTTTTTTGGTATTCATAAACTGATTATATATCTAGAAAGAAAAGAAAATTTCCATCAACAGTAGAACTGTAATTTTACCATCTATGGGCATTCAACACAAGAGACTCAATTTACAGCTTGATCAAACACATGATTATTTCATCTTCATTAAAGCTAAAAACATTAGTGGAAACAGCAGGAAATGCTGCATAAGTTATCTGCATGTTTATGATTACATATGCATCTGAATAAAAAAACACCAACCTAAATTTGTACTTTAAATTAAAATATTGGTAGAGAATATTAGATTTGTTAAAAAATATTTTGTTGCACTTGTAATTTTTTTAATATTCTGTATGCCTTAAGAAATAATAACGTAGAATATATGTATTGCAAAATATTATCTTCCTTAGGTCAGTTCCAACTATGACTATGAAGACCTATTTAGTGGTGCTGTCAAAATTTTTTGGGACTTAAAATTAGTATTTTTTTCTTAAAATATAAAACATAACAAAGGGGATTATTTTGATTAAAAAATTATCGGTCATCCAATGACTTGTCCCTCAAGATCACAGCATCATCAAATTTAACCATATATGTTGTGCCTTTATGCCAATGAGCAGTCACTTTAGCAGCCTGAAATTGAAAAAAAAAACAAGTGTATTGCTTACACTATCAATATGTTAAACTCTGAAATATTTAATTGAGAAAAAAAAAATCTAAATATTTTATAAAAACTTACAAAGCCACTTCTAGTTAAAACTGCTTCAATAATTCCAGCGTTGAAAGATGCACAGTTAAGGGACCCTTTGTCTTTAGGTACACTTATAAATTTATTTACCTGAAACATTTAAATATTAATACAGATTTATTGGACAAATGTTTAAATTTATCTTAATACTGATAAATAAACTAAAACGTGATGCACATTCAGTGGAAATATTTTTAAAATGCATGAACAATCCTTTGGTTCAGTTGAGAATGGTATCCAAATATTGATATAAATCCACTTATATTCAAATATTGAATTGCTTTTTTTCTTCAATATATTTAAACTTGTGCTGGAAGCTGATGCTAGAAAAATGCCTCGAGAGAATTGAAGATAATTTTCAGCTTTGAAAGATTGTAAAAACTAGAACCCAAATACTTTATCTCCTAAACTTTGAAAACTCATAACAAGCCAATAAGAAATTAGTATAGGAAGAAGTTTGTATTTGAGAAAGCGAGCGGTATTCAATATAAGCTGTACTTTAGCCTTGTGATGCTGCATAATTGTATTTAAGCAAGAGCAGTATATTTTGTAAACAAGTTACCAGAGCATCCTTTTCAATAATATAGTAAGTCCTTTCATCATCATTTGCATGCTCTAACTTATCTGCTTCTTTACCAAATAATACCTAAAAAAATTGTATTAAGCATAAGTTAAAAGAAAGTTAAATCCTACAAATTTATTTTTCTTTCCCTTCAGTTATCTGTTATAGAACAACTTAGACTTTTAGAATGTTGGTTATGATGAGAGAATTGAATTAAATAATCTATTTCAATAGTGTGGCAATAGCTAGAAATTTAAGGATTAAGAATTAACTAACAAACGAATTAAATTACTGATACTCTTGGTTTAATTTTATTGATGCATTTTACATACCTTCCACAAAGTTGATTTAACAAATAATAGCATGTTAAGAAGTTTTATTTCTCGTTTACTATTTCTTTCTCTAACAAAGTATAAATCTAGCAATCTGCTACCAACGTCTTGTCCCATTTCAGACAGTCTGAAAAATTAAAGTTGTTTCATCACAGCACAGTAAACTTAAGCACCTCTAACACTTTACAGTTAAGTTAGTAAGGAGTTTAGTAAGCATGGCCACATTTTTAATTTAAGTTACCTACTTTTTGTAAGATTCTTTGCCTAAATAATTGCACTATATTATATGTAACGGATATATACGTCTTTTTTGTCGTAAGTCTTTTTGCAACTCCCAGTGGTTTTCCACTCCCTTTTTTAATTTATAATTTTGTAACTACTTACTTAGTCTGTAATTCCTGTATGGAATGAGAACGATTTTGACTATACTGTACTATTTCTGAAAACAGCAGAGCGTAAATAGCTAGAGAGACTTCGCCTTTTCCTTTACTGAGAGGCTTGTCAAGAATTGATGATTTTGAACGACTAGATGACATTTTATTTGCCTGAACTGGAGTAGGAAGAGGTTTGAAACTTGGTTACAGCAGCAGACCGCTATAGTATCAATTTTAAACAGAATTTTAGGTTTGTATATTGTTCAAAGTTAAGTTAAACCTTTGGCAATTGGCTCAATTTTCAAACTAATTTGACACTTGAAAGAAATCAGTAAATACTCAAATAATCTAATGTAAATACCTTAACTTGACTGACGGATAGATCCACAGATAGTATAAAAACGAGTCAGATTTTTAATGGTAGGGGAGCCCAAGAGGGGATTTCGGGATTTACTAAAGCGCGGCAGATTACTATATAGGGGGATACCTTGTACCCGGTTAAGTACCTCCACAAAATATGAGGCCCATATATAAGGCCGCGCGTGAAGGAGACAGGATCAGATTAGTAAAAAAAAATTGACCATCAGAAATTCCCGAGCGCGTCAGATTAAGGTAGGGTGAGTTAATTACATCCTAAAAAGTGTATATTCCACTAATCTGACAATTTGAGAGTGACGGAAAAAAGGGAGGGCAACAAAGTTGTAAAAAAAACGTCATCTCGACATTCTCGAGCGTAGCTAATTTTTCTTTTATTTTGAAGGAAATAATTCCAGAATAATGAAAAATATATAATCTGACGATTTCCGCAAGCCGAAATAACAAAAATTCGTCGATAAAGTTAAATGCGTGCAGCTGCGTGATGCCTACATTTCCTTAAACCGATCGGAATCTACTAAACGGCGTTCAAAATATTTCCCTCAAAATTACATTTCCTGTGAATTTGAACCGATTCGGACCGATAGATTTTGAGAAATTTTGAAAAATCTTAAAAAATAAGAAATATTTTTTTTTTAAGTGGTTTCTTTATCGATCAACTTCAAAAACTAATCCGCCTTTGAGCTTGAAAAACCACGTCGATCGCCACCAAGCTGGTCAAAAGCGGTTGATTCGTTCGAGAGATATCGTGAACGAAAGAAACCCGAAAAAGTGTTTTTTCGGGATTACTCCGAAATTTGTGGTTCGATCAATTAAAATTGCAAAATTACTTATGAGAATGATAAAACTGCGTCGAATGCCGCCAACCGCGTGAAAATTGCTTGATCCATTCAAAAGTTATTGCGGTTTGAAAATTCCAAAAATAGTGTTCTATGAAACTTCTATCAGACTTTCGAGCTGGGAGAGCTCAAATGCATAGAAATGTTATTTCTTTGAACTCAGCGAGCTCAAAATATCAATTTTAAGCGCCCAGGAATGGAATTAGCGGGAAGTTGCAGGGATGGCCCTTTAGGTGAACCGTTTTTCTATTTTTTTTTGTCAGATCAGGCGAATCCCTCTAGATAATCGTCAGATTATGAGACAGTACGTTTAGAACATAAAGATGAACCACATATATCTTAATCTGACGCGCTTGAGTATTTCAAAATTGCGATTTTTTTTGCAAATTAAGAAAATGGCTGTGGGTTTGCGTCCCATCGAAATCGTCAGATTAGTGAATGAGAGATTTTTTTTGGTGCACTTAACACTCCCTTAGAAAATCTGACGCGCTCGATAAATTTTTTTTTTTAATTTTCAACCCTTAAATACAACCACCCGCATCATGCAAACGATCAGATTAACATACGTACATTATTAAAAATACGTAGGGCATAGATGCTATCAATATCTGACGCGCTCGAGGATGTCCATGCAACAGTTTTTTTTACATATTTAACTATCTATAGCCGCTTCCCCCACCGATGAAAAGGAATTTATCATATAACATTTTTTTCTTCTTTTTATCTAAGCTTTGTATCCCAATAGGTCTCTACGACGCTCGAGTAAATCCCCATTTAGCATCGTGGGCTCCCCTACCATAAGTTCGATCCGATCTTGAAAATATAAACAATAAAAGAAAATGTAGGTAGTAGCGTAAAAAAATATAATCAATCTCAATGTTGTATAGTTGTTGTAAATAAAAGTTTCCACAACGACACTTAGCGCAATCTAAGTTTAGAATTTCAAAATCCGGTGCATTTATAACGTACGGGAGTCGGACTAGGCTTCTTGTTTCTGAATCTTACAGTATATCTGCTCCAAGTTGTAACATTAAATTGTTCTTAAGAGAAGAAAACCTATTCTATAAACCGGTAGATTATGCTATACAAGAGGCCGATTATGTAATTGATTTATAAGGCTATAAAGGTGTAGTTCATAATACTTTGCTATTCGTCAAGTTTATAATACTTCTATACAATGGAGTGTAAGTTTTAGCTATTATATGCTAAGATAACTTAAATGAAACACTAAAAAGGCTTATCTATTTAATAATAACATCATTTCATTCCTCACTATAAAATAGAATATGTCCATACATGGGACGGTGTCAGAACATACTTATTTTTATATTATACAATTGCATCAATAAAACAATTGTAATGTAAAACACTTTTATTTAATAATTATTTATAAAGACCTGCACCTTTTTGTTACACAATGTATAATTAATTAACACCTTATCAATTATGTATTTGAATTTTTAAACTACATTGTACAACTTGTTCTGTAAACTTTATTTTTATTTAAATTAAAGTAAGGAGTTAAAATTTATTATTTTTGTAAGAGTAAGAACAATTCACATCTTGCAGTATGATATTAACCATACAGTGATTATAGAGAAACAAATTAAAGCACAACCTATAAAATAAAAAACCTGCTCTGGGGGCACTACATTAACTATGATTATAGCAACGCAGAGAATAGTTGTACATATGAAAATGGGTAGTGTATAAATATTGTAATATAATAAACTCAATCATAAAAAAAAGTTTAATTTACAAGAACAGGGCTTTTATTAAAGTATTGAAATAAATAGCACTAATTTTTTTTTGCCCTTTAAAGAAATTAGTTCTTATAGTTTTCTATAGATCTAATATAGCAAGATTTTTTATTTTAATGAGGCTTCTAAATCTGTAATAATGGTTTCTTTTCTATAAATTTACAACATACAGACATGAATGTCCTTTAAGGATAGTTTTGACTTGAATAATTTAACAATCTTCTTTCTTATTAATTTAACAATAATAATATGACAATGTAAGACTGCAGGTACAAATTTCTACTACATAATGTAGGTTTTATTAGTAATTGTTATGACTTAAATTTAATTGTGAAGTAAAAATAAATAACAAAAGATCCAACTCTTTGGTTGTTTTGTGGGATTGTGGTAAGTGCTAATAAAATATTTACAAGAAGATTTTGCATTAAACTTGGCATTTTTTTAAAGATCACTGCCAAAAATTTTATTATGTTATATGGTTGTACAAATTAAATTTTAATAAATATAATAGCACAATCTCTGCTATATTTCAATGAGTGGAAGTCATGTTTCTAGCACACTATGAACTGTATCAAATACACTACAGAAAACAACAAAATATCATTTAGTAGTTAAAACATTTGTGCCATTTGTAAAAAAGCAGACTATATCAAATGCCTATTGAAAATCTTATTGTATTTGAGATAATGTAATTGTATTAATAAGTTATAAGAACATCTAGTTAGTACAGATATACTAGAATGTTCACTATATTTAATTTACTGTGCATCATATCTACATATTTGCCATTATATCACTTAACACCAAATTCTCTTAAAACAGTGGATTACACAAAACCAAAGTTTTAAGTGACTAAGGTTTATAATCAAATTATATACAACAATTAGCAGCATGTAGATTGTACAGTCTCTGCTTCAAGAAGGTTAAAGTCCATACCATTTGGTCGATTGAAACCAGATTTTATACCATCCCAACCATCCTCAACTTTGTATTCACCTGTTTGAATCCGGTTGTAAACTTCTTGAGCAACAAGGATAAATGCTTGTTCAACATTTACCCCTGTCTTTGCTGAAGTCTCAACATGATGTAAGCCTATAAGAAAATATTAAATAAATGATTAGACACTTACTCTTTAAAATTTAATTGATATTTATAATATTTATTACTAATAATTATTTTTAAATATCATAGAACAACATTCTTTAATATATTTTATAAAAGTAGTTGGAAGTTCCTAGTAACAAATTAAGTAACCTTCATTCATTTGATTAGTAAGACAAGGTCTTTAAATTTCAAATAATTTTACAAGGTTGATTAGATTTGAGTCAAGAAATATATTAATTTGTTGCAAAACAATGGACAGTTGTTTATTCTAAAATTATTATAATATATACTGTTGTTGATTGCTGAAGTACTTAAACACAAAATACATAGTTCTACATGCAACAGTTCCGAAAAAATAATCCCTATCACATATCAAACTAAATAAAGGGAACACAATAATTAAGCTTTTAGGTTCAAACATAAATCAAGTTATTCAAAAACATTTTTTAATATACCTTTTATTAAAATCTCTTACAATAGCTAGATTTATGATAAAGGATTTCTAAATTAGTATGAGTTAATACATTTGACATTGAATACATACCATTTTCTTCTGCAAACATCCTAGCCTCTTCACAGGAAACCTCCCTGCGTGCACCGTTTTTAGAATCTGTTCCTACAAGATCTACTTTACACCCAACAAGAGCAAATACTGGTCTATGTGGCTCTATATGACGTTTTGCTTCCATCATCCATAGGGGAATATGCTCAAAGCTCGATCTATTACAAACATCGTAAACTAGAAGAGCGCCCACTGAATTTCTATAATACGATTTCGTTATTGATCTAAATCTTTCTTGACCAGCAGTATCCCACAATTGTAATTTGATTCGCGTACCATCCTGTACTTCAATGATACGAGCAAAGAAATCTACTCCAACGGTGGGATCCGACAACTGAAACATAATGCGTAATTTACATAACAAAATTTCCAAAAAAAAAAATATAACAACAAAGGAATTTACCTCAGCAAATTTTCCATCTGTGAAGTATTTAAGAAGCGAACTTTTGCCGACGGTGCTGTCTCCGATTAAAATAAGTCTAAATTGATAATCGAATATGGGATCAACCATTTTCTAACATGTAATAATAGTGATTCTTGAAATATTTTACGTATTAACGCAAAAATATATTAATACTACGAAATTGAACACACACTTGACCACAGATGTAGATAATGTGTACCTTTTACTCCTTTTAGTTTAGTTACTTTGAACACTTGACTTTGACAGTCAGTAAGGAATTTAAGATGCTGCAACTGTGGTCTGTGTATCCGCCTGAGTTATATAGTATATACCTTTCTTTGCTTGGAAGTTGGTGGTCGTCAGACGTCAACGTTAATAAAATATTTGGCTAATTTCATGTACATGTACGTGTAAAATGTATGAAATAAAAAACCTACACGGCCTAAGAAGAAGAAAAAGTACCTAATAGGTACTTCTTAGTCCGTGTATAAACAATCTGCAGTAGAATTGTAGGAACCATAGCTGAAATTATAAAAAAACAGATAGTTATGCTGTGCAGTACAGGTACTGTGCAGTAAATACTAAATATTATCTGTGATAGAGATCGTTTCACGATCGTTTTCACTTTTCCCAATTCCCAGACATTGAACAACAATTAGCATTCAGGAATATTATTAAACACGCTATAATCCTAATTTTAACATAAAATATTAATATTTATTATATATTGTCTTTTTTTTGGAGATATACATGCTTTTTAGTAACTTAGCTAAGAATTTGTTAAAACAGTTGCTCCAAAAGTTACTATCCCGCCGATATATTACAACTGATGATAAGAACCAAACAATGAGTTTTACACAAGGATTAGCGAAGATCAAAGAAAACGATGATAAACATAAAACAACTCCAATCGGTAAGTTCTTTCTAACAATAAAATATATACTTCTTTAACATTGGAATTTGTTGTCTTAACATAACCTCTATCATATAATTCTTTATAGCAAAGGTGGCACCTGAACTCAAACAGAATAATGATGTTGATACACAAATATCAAAGACTTGCGCTGTTCTAGGTTGTGAGGAATCAAAAAATTTTAATGCCGACTCATTTTTCCCGTAAGTAAACCGCAAAATTATATTTCCGATATTGTTTTAATTTGTGTATGTCCTAGATTAAATAATCTTTATAAATACACTCGCGAGCAAACAAATCGACTCAAGCGCTACCTCTGCATTCGAAGATTGTTTTAAGTGAAAGTATACAACATTTTAATAAAAATAATATGTCATTTGAAAGCTTGAAACCTAAGCTTTAAAAAAAACATCAACACGATTAAATAAAACGACTACCAACATGTTAATTTGCGCAATTAGTGCGTATGGGACAAATTACTCACTACGCTACCAGCAAGTTGCGCTACCCTCTACCCCTATAAAACCCCGTTACCCTTCAACCTTTATGAGTTGCTTATAAACAGTTGACCGATACACATCTCCGCAACCTGCATTCTTTGTTTTCAAGAAACCATGGATACCACACCTCAAGAAGCCGCTCAAGTTTTTGCCTTATTGCAACAAGGACTCAGTCAGCGAGTAGTCGCTTCCCAGCTTCACTTGAGTCAATCTGCTGTATCCCGAGTATACAGACGATAGACAAGAGACTGGAGCATTCACTCGGAGACCAACAACCAGCCGCAACCGTTGTACTTCTGAACGAGACGACCGTTTCATTGTCTCAACCTCCCTGCGAAATCGGCACCTTACGGGTGTCGACGTGCAGGGCGAGCTGAGACGTGTTCGAGGTATAGCTGTCAGCGAGTGGATAGCAAGAAGAAGTCTGAAGGAAGCCAACCTGACTCCAAAAAGGCCTGCAACGGGCCCCAAATTGACTGCAGGCCACCGGCAAGCTCGGCTACAGTTTGCTCGAGAGCATCTTAACTGGAGCATTGGGTAATGGCGGTCGATCCTGTTGACTGACGAGTGCAGGATGTGTCTGCATGGCAGTGACAGGAGAGGCCGGGTCTACAGGCGTCCGGGAGAGCGATTTTACTAATGCTGATTAGCAGTAATCGTTGCCTATGGTGGCGGTTCTTGCATGATGTGCGCTGATATCTCGTTGGAGGGTTAAACCCAGCTCGTTTTCGTGCCTGGAGTAGGCCGAAGAGCAGGACTGACAGCTGATGGGTACATCACAAATATTCTCCTGGAACATGTTGTGCCCTACGCAGGATTTGTTGACGAAGACTTCATCCTAATGCATGACAATGCAGCTTTGTTAGAGGAGTGGGAAGGTATTCCTCAAGACACCGTCAAAAAATGAATAAGGTTGATGAAGAACCGAATACGGGCTGTAATTTGGGCTAGGGGGCAATACCAATTAGTGAACCAATAAATGTTATACTCTTTAAGAAAAAAAACGTGTTTTATTTGTCAATTCTGAACACAACTCCTTTACCCAAAATCCCATTTTTCTCCCATTTAAGTTCAGACACCAATAATAAAAAAAGGATACATGGATATTAATAATAATAACATCTCATAAAAGCTGAAGTTTTAAGCTTTCAAATGACATATCATTTTTATTAAAATGTTGTATACTTTCACTTAAAACAATCTTTGAATGCAGAGGTAGCGCTTGAGTTGATTTGTTTGCTCGCGAGTGTATATGGTATTTCTTTGAAATTAGGGTGATTCATTCAAACTATAACTAATAAATATATTTTGGTAGTTTTATTTTGAAACTTGTACTGAAACTGATTCTTGTTTATACTGCCAATATTTGAAAAATATTTTAATGACGATTTTAAATGGACTAACAGAATGGAAACACTCCTTTTGTTGAATTTCCTATAATATACATATTTTTTAGTATACAGCAATAAACACCTACCTAAACAAGCTAATAAAAAAAATATTGCATATGTGTTAGGCCGGGACAATGTTAATTCAGTCTAACTTTTGTCTTGCTTAAAGCTGATTTACACTGGTTTTTAGCTTTCCTGAAGATGAACACCTAAGACAGATATGGACAGATCTTACTGGAAGGAACAATTGGACACCCACTGATTACTCTTACATTTGTGTTCAACACTTTTCAGTAGATTGTTTTGAATGTGACTCTAATAACGCTGTAGTTCTTATTAATAAGGCAGTACCCTCATTAAAACTACCTAAACATGTTTTAGAGGTGAGTAAAATGTGAGCTATTGTAGTAAATTAATAAACCTTGCATTACATTTTAAATAGCAATCAGAACTTCATTGCTAGTCTGTAAGGGAGGGATCTCCATTATTTCTTGAAGCTACAATATGTATATATTATATATATTCAGAAAAGCTAAATACAGTGGTATTACAAAAGTCAAGTGTCTTTTTCAAAACGTAAAGTAACTTTATTAAAAACAACAATAACAGATGCTTTGAAACAAACAAAGGATGACAATTCATCAAATTATAAATTATGATTAAACAAAACCTACATAGATCATAATTATTGTCAGTTTACTATATTGCAATCTATCTAACAACAACAGTATTTACAATTTTGCCCTTATGTTATTAATATTTTTTAAGATTTATTTAACTATCCTATAAAAAATTTACATACCTTTTTTATCTTAAGCATACATGATGCTTATTAAAAAAAATGTTTTAGGTTGAATATATTGAAGAAGATTCATTGGACAATGAAGCTGAAGAAGAAGACTACTTGGAAAATGATTATGAAATGGATGTTGATGATTCAGCTTTTGAGAGATCAGGAACAAATGATACAACTGTACAGAAATCAAATGATTACTCTAAAGAAATATCTATAACAAATGGACCAACACATTCCAATAGTAATTCAAATGTAGACATAAAAGAACATTCTGAAATGGAAAAACCCTTTAGCGACATGCAGATTAAACAAAATGTTAAAGTATTAAAACTTTTTACTGAAGTACAAAGAATGCAACGTGAGTCAATTGAAACAAAAAATAAATATAAATATGCCTTGCGCTCATATAAACGTCAAACACGGTTTTTAACAAGGCTTCGTGAAGTAATAGAAATGAAAAAGAAAATTTTAGAACAAAAGAAGAAAAAGAAGTCACGAATTCTTCTATCATTGCAAGACAAAATAAAAGAAGATACAAGTGGTCTTGTTCTAGCAATGCCAACTAGACACACCGATGACTTAAAGAATTTTGCACTGAGTATTTATAAATATTCTCCGCAGGCCTACATATATATCAGAAATGCTCTTAGAACTCTTTTACCAGGCATTGAAACACTGGATTCATGGATTAATTCAGGCTATGAGCCAAGAAATGTTCTCACTAACAGTAACCTTATAAAAATTACAACAGATTTAAATGAAACGGAAATGAATTGTAAGATTACATTACGTTAGTTTAACAGTATAGTATGATTTCTAAATATTAAGATATCTTCAATTTTTATTTGTGTCAAGTTTACTTTTAATTCAAGAATAAAATAAATCAAATACACAATGTACATGTCACATGTATTATATTTTTTCAAGTGTAACCTTTTTTATTTTCTAAAATGAATATATGTAGTGAAAATCCATTCACACCATTTGTTGAATTTAAAAATAATACAAGCCCTAATGCAAAATAGTTCGTCTAGTGAAATTTTCTCTGTGAGATTTTTTCTATCTTCATTATTTTTGTATATCTTTGTAAAATGTTAAGCTGTTCTACTATCACATGTCGCGTTACTTATGCCATTTTTTAATTATCAACCAATAAACTATTTTAGCTTTTTAAATTTATACATATCCTGTTTTAAATTCAAAGAAGTTATTAGCAAAATAGTTCGTCTAATTGTTAATAGATTCAAAAGAGTTTGTCTATTGGTGAGTTAAATAAGATTATTCCTTCTTTGTAAAATTGTTGCATAGTTTAAATTTGTAAAAGTAATTCTGTGTCATTTGTGAAGTGAGACAGTATAAATTCTGAAAATTTCAGTTTTATTTTAGTTTTCAAATAACAATGGCAAACCCGTGTGTTAAGAGCTTCGAAAGCGAATAGTTTGTGACTGGGGTCTATGCTGGCAAATCAAGTAACCAAATATCTAAAGACTTGATACTTCCCAGGTCAACAGTTCAATCTATCATTCAGCACTATAAAAAAAATAGAACGACTTCTTGTTTGAAGAAAACTGGTCGACCGCGCATCACAAGTGCAGTAGAAAACAGAATCCTGAAGAAAATTATCAAAAATAATCGTCGTACTCAAGCTGGAGAACTAAGTGGAAGACGAACTATTTTGCGTGAGTGATAAGGGTAGACGAATACTTTTGCGTTATATTTTATAGAATATTTTTTTAATTTTTGTATGTTATGTAAAGTCATGAAAGAATTCCAGTATTGTAAAATAAACTTTAAAATGTTCCTCGAATTGTGGTTTACTTTTTATTAAATGTTATTTTACCAATATTAACTTTCTATATTTTACGCTTTGCACTACTTTCCATACTAGACGAATTATTTTGCATCGGGGCTTAATATAAATAGTATAGAATCATGCGTTTTTTTAAAAGAAAAGTACCCCAAATTTCCAATAATAACCCTGGACATCTTGATTCCCCCTAAATTTGGGAGCAAACCCCCAAGTTGGTATATGGCATTGCTATGGCTTCTAGGCTCTATCTTACACGGTACACCCCTATGTCAAAATGCAAATGTTGATGTACGGGAGTGACATTTACCGCTAAGCTTGGTATTTGAACCCTCCCCCTAGTCTTTACTTAATATACCTACTATATCAATCAAATCATACTTACTGGGCATAGCCCAATTTCAAGATGATCAATTTGTCGCGAGGTTGTGTTAAATTAAAATTATAATATGTAAATATATAAAGTTTTTACCTTTGCCAACCTTAAATGTTTAATATTCTATGGATGGCGCTGAACCAAATAACAAGCATTAAAATATGACAGTTTTGCTAGGTCAATTGACAGCACGTAGTTATAGTCTGTGGCCGGTATTTTTCTTTGACAGTTGTGACTGTAGTCTGTCAGAGAAGGGTTTTAAATTTTAGTTAGTGCCGCTTTTTCTCTCATGGGTGTAGGTTTACACCTTTTAACGCTCGTTTTGTTGACGAAAATAATTTATCCATCTACCATCTGTTCAAATATTGAGCAAGTTTTGAACAAGAAATCTTCTTAAAAGCGTTACCCTTCGCATCCAAATATTAAGGACTGAATTATTTTCCTTTGTTATTTAATTTTGTGCCTGTGTTGTGTTTTTTGTTTTGAAACCCGTGTTGTGAATGGATTTGTTGTAACGCGATTATGAAGGCGTGCGCCTCGCAATAGGTACGTAATCTCGCATATTTTATTTATTGCTTGTAATGTGTGAAGCCTTAGATTTCACCCAGCGATTTAAACGCGACTGTCGCCGCTAACTGGACTTTCGCATTCGTGATTCCTAAAGCGTAATGCATTCCTTAAAAGTAAGCCACGGACCTTAATAGTCGATCAGTTGCTGGTACGTGTTAAGTTTTATACTACTGAGGTCTTTAACAGTGTATTGTTATTCGCGACATGACCGATTAATTTCTCTTCTGACATTTAAGTCTAAAGGATATAATTTCTACTCTTTATAGGTCTATGTTTTGATTTTAAAATGAATAAACACTATTTTAACATTGCTATCCAACTTATAGGAAGACATTCGATTATATCATTATATCATACGACTTGTTGTGCTTGAATTCATACTAGCATTGGCAAAGTTTTGTAAAATAACAAAGCCTTATAATTGTACTTAAATATATATATATATATATATATATATATATATATATATATATATATATATATGTGTATATATAATAAACTTGCGAATTTTTATTGCAACTAAAAAAAAAAATAGAAATTGTCAAAGTTTTGGTATGGTTCTGTGATTGAATTCAGTGAATTCACAAAATTTACTATTCCTCTGCTCAACGTCCATAATACTGCTGCAATTAGCCGTTTATCGGGCTTCCTAACACACCGATGCGTAACATCACGTGTCCATTGATGCCAACTATTTTTACTAGACGAGACCGAATACCTTAGACATATAAAATAAAGACACAACCCTGTCCTAAATACTATAAAAAACGGTGCGTGACAAACATATCATTCATATCAATTACTACCAACAGACATAAAATTATTGCATAAAAATGCAACGCTGTCAAAAACTGTCATTATCGTATTGACGTAGGCGAAGACTTAGCGAGAATATTGTATCAATTGTAGCCATTAAGCAATTTTCTTTAAGGCTGATCTTTTACACGGCATGTCGCGTATATCGTATATTAATCGTTTATTCCTTAAACATAACGGTGTGAGCTTATGCCATTTAAATTCGTCCCGGTTAAGATCGTAACGATAACAGAGCTTTGCAGAAACAGTAATTGCTTTAGGAAATATTCGTCATCAGATGTGGTATTCTTCGTAACATCTTGGTTGGATTTCAAATTTATTTGTCTCGCAGGAATTTCTTAAAGTTAACAGTTGTTAAAAAAAATATTTACCTAATTCCAATGGATGTAAGACTATTTGGCCTCTACAAGTTACCTGACGAGGAGGTCCTTTACATTTATACATTGACGCAGCCTACTTCATTTCACTTCCATCCTTCTTTAATCTGTGTATTGATAAATAAATTGCGTTTGTCTATTGTTGTCACTCTATGGCCTAGGCCGACTTAAATAGTTTTTTTTGTAACAGCAGTACTTATATAATTTAAAGTATAAAAAGTCCTCAACAACTTTTTAATACATAATGCTGGGCTATGCAACTAATTAATTCAATTTCTTGCAACTGTAACGGAAAACTAAATGTTTTCCGTTGAAAAAAACATTTCCGGATTTTTAGCTTATAATTCAATAAAATGGCAACTGAATGCAACTGATACCTGTCAAGTTAACTCTGAGTTTATGACTGCCAGATTAGAATATTCTTTATGATTTCGTGTTCTAGAATGAGCATTTATGTCGAAAAAAAGAGTTGTCAACATACGAAACTAGGCTGGAGCACTTTAAGATGTTGTCATTGGACAGTCGTAGAAACATATTGATATGTCGTTTGCGTTTAAGATATTTATGAATCGGGTGGATTGCCCCAACGTTTTAACTAAATTTAAATTTCGTGTGGGCAGGCATCCCATTTGGCCCTCCTTTCAGAATAACACGTTTTGGCCAAAACTCACCGATATCCAGATAGAGCATTCTGATCAATTTTCTTTTACTTTTTACAATTTATGAATCGATGTATTTTTTTTCTCTTCATGTTTATGTTTGCCTATAATAGCTTGTCACATTAAATGTTGTATTTTGTTTGTCTTTTGCATTTATGTGCCGAGCGTTGGCAAGATTTTGTAAATAAAATACTCACCAAATCCTGTATTTTAAAGCCGTCTTTTCTATATATATAAGATTTAACTATTTTATTTTTACAGCCATGATAAGTTTATGACGTCGTCTATAATAATTTTATTATGCAATAACCACAACCGTTATGGGTCAGGTGATATGCAAATGTTTTTACTATGTTAAACTTTATGTAAAAAGTAACAGAGTCCAGAATATCGCAGCGCCACTATAATTACATCTATTGTATTCTTGAAAAGTCGTGAGAATGGCATAACTTAATGAATTCGCACGCTTTATATAATTTACTAAGTATTATTGGCGATAAAGGATGACACCGTTATGTCACATGATGGTGGTAATTGACATTTAGAGTATCTTACGTATGTATCTTTTGCCTAAGTTACCCTTGTTAAATTTCTTCACAAATATTTAGTTCCCTTCCCATTATATAAAAAAGAAATTAACATAAAAGGCAGCATCAATAAAGTAGTGATATAAATTAGGTTCTGTTGTTTTATTATTTGTAATTATTTTCGTTAGAGTTTAGAGATATTATGTGGTTTAGTTTCGTTACACTCACTCAGAGTGTAACAAAACTAAACATAAAAATAAAATAAAAATAAATAAACAATGGCGTTACAATATTTTTAGGTCTGGGCCTTAGATTCCTGTTTCATGATCATTTGGTAATCTAATAGGCAAGTAGGTGATCAGCCTTCGGTGTCTGACGCACGCCGACGACTTTTTGGTTCAAAGGCAAGCCGGTTTACTCGCGATGTTTTCCTTCACCGTTCGAGCGAATGTTAAATACGCACATAGAAAGAAAGTCCATTGGTGCACAGCCAGGGATCGAACCTACGACTTCAGGGATGAGAGTCGCACGCTGACGCCACTAGGCCAACACTTCTCAAAAACGAAAATAAAATATACTGTGAAGTTAATCGTTTATGATTTGATAGGCTGAAGATTTTCTTATTTCCAAATCATGCCTTACGTAAGAAATCACTGATAAATA